TAAAATAAGAAGAAATTATGTGAAGAAATTAACTGAAGTCCATAAATTCGGAATTACTCAGGATGAATCCACTTTTTTCCCTTCCAGTCCATTTATCACTCTGCTACTGGAGCAATCATTTTGGAAGCAAGCATCAGCATATTTTGGTTTATTCTGCCTTATAGTCACATGCAAGATATCAACAATCCAGCATAGACCGGGTTGTGCCAAGCCGAGTCCCATTCCTCTTTACTGTGCCTTTTAGCAGAAAATGAAGACTTGGGGCCTTGGCTCTAGGGCAAAAACTCTGGATCTCCCGCAAGTAATTCTTGAATAAGCCCACAACTACCTCCCCAAGGGTTGCTATAAACTCCAGGTATAAATGAAAGCAAGAAACATTTCTCACCATAGAAGCAAAGGAGTCTCAGTGTGCAATAATGATTTGTCTATATACAACTATTAAGAGGCCAAACATAGCACTAAGATTTGTGTCTAAAGCATCATCTACACTCTGTTATAAAAGATTTTATGTATGTATGTATGTATGTATGTATGTATTTTTAGAGAGAGGGGAAGGGAGGGAGAAATAGAGGGAGAGAAACATCAATCAGTTGCTTCTCCCAGGCCACCAACTGGGGACCTGGCCCACAACCCAGGCATGTGCTGTGACCGGGAATTGAACCTGAGAACTTTCTGTTTGTGGGATGATGCCCAATCCACTGAACCACACCAGTCAAGGCAACTTCTACATTCTTATTTTTCTCCTAAAAACAAACAGTTAAGTAACTTGCTTCAAATTCTTATAATTAAAGGGTCTGTTTAGGTAATTTCCCAGAACAAAGAACCACTTCACAGTTAACTCAAAATAAGAATCCAAAATATATTTTAGTTTTCTTCCTGAGCTCTGGTAACCCTTTCCTTAAGTTTTGATCGGATCTTCCACACACGATGTTCCTTTTGATGAGCAGTCTGTTGCACCTCTTTTCCTCTGAGTCATTTAGGTCCTTGGGAAGACCTTCCCTAATCCCAACCCTAGGGGGAGTAAGTACCTTAGCTATCCTTGCTTCTAGCTTTATTTTTCCTAAAAGGCTTGGATCTGAATCTTGATATAAGAGATTTTGGGGGGAGGAGCTGGGAGAAAATACAGTTGGGACAACTGTAATTGAAAAATAAAATAATCTAAATAAAAAAAAGAGATTTTGTCTTTAATGTTTCTGTCTCCAACTAGATTACAAATTATTTGTTATTCAATGAACCTTCAGTAGCTAGCATGGTTACCTGGTTCAATAGTTGTAAATTCACGAATTCAAGGAAAGCATTCCTGCCCTCCAAAATTTATTCATTCCACAAATATTGAATGTCAACTTTGACCCAGACACTATTTTAGGGGTTTTTTAAAGGTAGATTAAAAGAGTTGGAAAAATAAAATCCATACCTTTTCTTAAGTAAAATTGAGAGCATGACAAGAAAAAGTTTCAATCTAACCAGAAAATGTATAAGCCATTATTCAAATATATTCAAAGCTTTGAAATTTGGGTAACTGAAAGAAATCTACTTGTAATTTAAAAAAAATAGTTCTTGAGGTGAAGATTCCAGAGTTGCTCTATTTTTCAGGTTTTTCTGAGTTACCCTATGCTAATTATAGATAAGGCAAAGTACAACCAAGGAAAAATTGTTTTCACCAATACTTTAGTATTATTTGAACGAATTTATTCCTGTCATTGTAGATTATTCCTTGCAGCATTCAGATGTCCTGTTTTAGTTTCCTTTCATCTAGAAGAATTCCTTAGTCTTTTCATTTTATGTCATTGCCATTTATGAATACAGGTCAGTTGTTTTATAAAATGTCCTTCAATTTGAGTTTGTCTGATTTTTCCTAGTGAGAAATTTCAACTTACGCAGTTTTAGCAAGAACGTTGCATAAATGATGCTATGGTCTTCTCAGAACACCACATGAGGAGGCAGCTGATGTGTATTTGTCTCTTTACTGGTGATGTTAACCTTCATTATTTGCTTAAGGGGGTGTTTAAAAGTTATTTTTTCTCCTGTAACTCATAAATATCTTTGGGGAGATACCTGGAGACTATATAAACAGACTTTTACTCAAACTTTTCCCACTAGTTTCAATTAGCTGTTGCCTGTATCAATTATTATGATGATGATAGTTATCAAAAATGATTTTCTGATTTCAAGATTTCTCCTACATTAGGTAGTGTTCTACTGTAAGGAAGAGTTTTCTCTTATAACATTTACTCATTCATTCACATCATTGTGGACTCAAAGATTCCTATTTTATTCAATGGGATGTAATCCATCACTATCATTATTTATTGTGATCTTTTGATTGCCTCAGATTTGGTCAGTATCAGCCCACCTAACTCCTATGTCACGTTGACATGTTTATATCATTCTTTGAACCCATCTTTACTTTCTGGCATCAAAAACAAGTTTCAGGCTCATCTTGTATTGTCTCTGCCTTGAAATCAACCTTTTTTCCAAGGAGCACTAGTTCCTTTTAGTGAAGAAAGGAATAAATAGTCTTTTTTAAAAAAAAGTCTTCTTAAAACAATTCTATTGTTTGTATGGGTTCAGTGTTCAAGATTTTGGTAATCAATCTCTGTTGTGATTCCATTCAGCCAATGGCATTAGTCCACACTGGTCTTAATTAGTGGACTTAATTGCCTCCTATTCAAGAGTAGTGTCATAAGACAGGAAAGTCTTCTTAAATATGACAAAATATGACTTAATTGCCTCCTATTCAAGAATAGTGTCATAAGACAGGGAAGTCTTCTTAAATATGACCTCAGACAAAAAGATTAAGGGCATGAATAAAAGTTTAAACACAAAGTTTTAAAGTTTTGTATTAAAAATAATTACCTGAGCCCTGGCCAGGTGGCTCAGTTAGTTGGAGCATCGTTGCGTACACCAAAAGGTTGCAGGTTTGATCCCCATTGGGTCATGTACAGGAGGCAGCCAACCAATGTTTCTTTCTCTCTCTCTCTAAAAACCAAAAAATATATATCCTCTGGTGAAGATTTAAAAAATTACCTTAAACACAATTAAAGGTAAAAACATCTAGGCAAAAACCACTTTCAGTATTTGACAGACAAAAGGTTAATAGTTTTCATACGCAGACACTGTTAAATCAGTAAGATATAAAGAGCAATAGAAAAGGGGAAATATATATATACATATAGCAGTAATTCACAAGAGAACAAATATAGATGACCAAAAAACATGTCTCGGTTTCATGAGCAAGCAAAGTAGTACCAATTACATCAACTGAAATTATCTAAGAGAAAATCTATGACCCATAATATTGGCAGAGATTCCATTTTATGACATTTCATTTTTTTCAAGGCACTCATTTATTATCAAATTGTAAATTAGAGCAACTTTACTATAGGGCAATTGGATGATATAAATTATATAAAAAGCTTGGTAGGTTTTGGTTTTATGGTGCTATATAGGGGAAGTGTTTCCAACTAGATATAATATTTATTCCCATAAAGGATTCAGATAAAGGAAACACAATTTCTTTACATAAAGCCTGTTTAAACATTACAATTTTCATTCAAACTTTTACCTTAATCCTATTGTTAATAGTAAGATTATTATCATTATCAATAATCTTATACATTTCTATATTCACTCATACTAATTGTAGCCCATATTGGAGCTTCACCAACAGCTGTTGGTACAACAAGGCATGAGGCTCCTGTGTCAAGGAATCTCAGAAATTTTTCTTCATCCCCTGACCATTTTACCCACTTCTGCGCATTAGGTTTTGGGTCCGAAGCCACAGAGCCCCGACACTTTTGTTAGTCTTTACCTTAATTTGACTGAGTATTGGCCTACCAGGGGTGTCCAAACTTTTGGCATATCTGGGCCACACTAGAAGAAGAGTCATCTTGGGCCACACATTGAATATATCATGACATGTAATCACAAAAAAATCTCAAGTTTTAAGTGAAGTTATGATTTTGTGTTGGGCCTCATTCTTACCTCGTAGATGATTCTTGGTCGGGTTTGTCATTGCATTAATTATTTTCCAGTTTTTAAAATTCCTCCAAAATAGGGAAATAGAGCCTGACTTGTTTGGGGCATTTTAATGTTGAGAGAACAATAGGGGATCCATTTGGCCCACTCAAGTTTTCATAGTGCTGTATTAGGATCTTTTAAAACTCACATCATGTAAGCTAGGCTAAGCTATGACATTGTAAAAGTTAGGTGTATTAAATGCATTTTCACCTTAGGACGTTTTCAATTTACAATGGTTTCATCTGGATGTACCATAACCCCATTGTATGTGAAGGGGCACCTGTAGTCTGATACTTTGCTCTCTTACAATCATTTAAAGACCATATCTTTGTATATCGTGTGTGCATATATTGTCAAGCCCTGGTCTTCCCATTCCCCTTATAATTTATATCAAGTGCTCCAACACTATGGTTAATACCTGTCATTAATCTGTCAGAACAATGTTTAAAAGTCTATGTATCTTTAAGTTAACCGGAGTCCATAATTTTCTAAAAGAAAGCACTCAGAGAAACCCAAATTCTCTCCCGCTCCCCACCCCCCACGAACATCGCTGGAGAGTTCTAGGAAAGACAATCCCTGACAATCGACTTAGTATTCCAGTACCTCCATTAAGTAAAGTTCAGCATCATGCAGTTTGAAAACCATAAACTCAGCAGAGCCGTTGTAGTATTACAATGTCACTAAGCCATGCTTCCATTATGCCACGGGTCCCTCAGAGCAGCTGGCCACCAAAACGCGTCCTGTACCTTCCCAAGAGGTGCCCACCAAGCAGCCTAAAGGGCTAAGTCTTCAGAGAAGCTAAGATACGGCCCCGAGCTCGAAGCCGGGTAAGGAAGCGCCTGTGGCAAGCCCCGCCCTCCACTGCGGCCTAGCAGTACACTTCCCAACACAACACGCCCCCACCTCCCCAGCCTGCCCGCAGCGAGAGCGCCTCGCCTGTGCGCAGGCGCGTGCACCGCCCCTCGCTCGGCCCCGCCTCCTCGGCTCATCGCGGAGGGCTGCTTTTCCGCGGAGCCGCTTCACTGATAAGGTTCCGGGCCTGGGGCGCTCCATCTTTCCTTTAGTGCACCGCCTGAGCCGTTTAAACATGGAAGGCGAGAGTACGTCGGCGGTACTCTCCGGCTTTGTGCTCGGCGCGCTGTCCTTCCAACACCTCAATACGGACTCTGACACGGTGAGCTGAGGGGCGGGGCGGGATCCAGTGTCTCCTCGTGGTCTCCCCTAGCCGGCGCCCTCCCCGCCCGCCAGCTCCCTGGTGGCCTTCGCAGTGCCGGCCTCAGTCCTCCGGACTCTGCCTTCTCTGGCTCCCGGGCCGCGTGAAATGTCCTTCCTAACCGCTAGGTCTTTTGCAGGATTAGCCCTCTCTTTTTAAAAAAAAATTATTTTTAATTGAATTTATTGGGATGACATTAGTTAATAAAATTATGTAGGGTTTAGGCATACAATTTTACAATGCATCATTTCTACGTTGTATTGTGTGTTCTCCACCCTTTGTCATGTCTACTTCCATCACCATTTATCCTCCCTATACCCTTTTCCACTTCCCTCCACTCCCTTAGCCTACCCTCTTCTGAGCAATGTTTGTCCTCGTGCCCCTATTCCACTGACCCACATGCGCTCCCATTTCTCACTTTCAGCAGCCCCCCTTTTCTGTTTCACCTTGGTTGTGAAAGGGTAGAAAGTTCACATAGCATTAGCCTGCTGCCGCCAGAAGGTTGCCGGTTTACTTTCAGTTTCTAGTAACTACCGACAGTACTTCCAAAGACAACTGAATTTTTTTATGTGGAGCGGCTGCTGTGCATGTTTGTTGAAGTGGTACGGTGGTTAAAGGAATAAGAGATGTTGCATCCAGTGACTGTTTGGGGGGAATTCTTAGTGGATGAAAAAGCTTAGTTTGGTATTTATATCTGACTTTTGCAATAGTATTTACCTTATTAAATTGTAAGGTTGCACCTAGTTCCTTTTCTGATGCTTTCAGTTATGATTTAAACATTTATGTTCAAATATTAGATGTTTAAAAGCTTATTTTACAATGGATAAAGTGGTGAAGTACTTTTTTAAATATAGTGCCTACTTTTAAAAACCGGTATTTTTATGAAATCAAACAGTGTAAAACTTCCCAAGTAGTGCCTTAGAGTGTTTAGTAACTTGCGAATACCATGCTGAATAAACTCTAATAATTTCTTAAATAACCTTGTAGATTACACCTAGAAAGGAGCAAATATATATGACAATTTTAAATGTATATAGCTGTGGAAATTATTTTGTGATGTCTTACTGTAAGTATAAAGAGTGGGTCCTGTAGCGGAAAAACTTAGCTGTTGGAAAGTACCATAATGTTAGGCCTTTGTCTCTCAAATCTTTTCCCTATAGTCTTGAAAGGTGATTTTCTAGATAGTTATACTTGCATTGTCCCTGCTTCCTTTCCCAGGATTTGTCTAGAGCGCAGAGTTCTGGATTGATCCTTTTTGTCTAGTAAATACTCATATTGTAGAAACATGCTTTTTGTGCTCTTATTCAATGAAATGGTGAGGGGGTGGCATTTGAAATTACAAAGAAGTCAAAATCTTCCTTGTCTGTCAAGCACAATGGATCTTTCCATGTGCCAAGAAAAATAATGGAATTGTCTCAAACTCAAAAAATCACCACTGTTGTGGGGAAAATGCATGTATTTTTTTTTTAAAGAATTAAGGCCCGCAGCTCCCCTTTTAGAAAGCAGACTGGTACTGAATTTCAGATCTTTAATATTTTGCATGATTTTTAATCTAGAAGCATTGATCATTGCATCATTCCATAGCGCTGAAGCCTCCATTGGCTCCCAGAAGTATGTGCCATTAATTTAGAGTCCTTGGCTAATCATTTGGGGTGTTCCATTATTGGAGTTACTCCTATCTATGATTTCCTTACAAGTGGGAGCCTTCAGATCCAAGGCAAACTGCTCTGCTCTTAAATCTTCAGGCACTGTGTCCTCATTTCTGGCTTTAAGCCTTTCATGCTTCCAAATGTGCCAAAGTCACAGTGGTTTATAGTATTTTCTACTCATTGGTATTTGACTGTTAATGTTTCCCAGCTAACCTGGAAGTGCATCTGGTCTTTTCTGTGCCCCCAAGCTGGAAGCACATATTGTATATACTCTTAAGTACTAGTACTTAGATAGTGGTTAGTTAAGTGACTGAATGGTAGTACTATCAGTATATTCCATATACTTACTGCTTCTTATTTTTATCCATAGGAAGGTTTTCTCCTTGGGGAAGTGAAAGGTGAAGCCAAAAATAGCATTACTGATTCCCAAATGGATGATGTTGAAGTTATTTATACAATAGGTAAGTCACTTATTTCTGTGTCTCCTATTTGTGATGGTTTATGGTGAAAGTGATCAACATAAGTTACTTTTCAAATTAATAGGAAAAAACATACAAAATTTAAAAAGCAGATTTTAAAAGAATATACTGCCCCCATTTCTCAATTAAAATTATGGCAATGGCCTAGTTTGAAGTAGGAAACAATCTGGGACATAAGCAGGTAAGATTACTTACTGTGGGGGGGCAGGGATGAAATAGCACCTGCATATATTTAAGTAGCAGAAAGATGGCCAAGCAAAAGGAGAAGGAACCAAATTTCAAAACCAAGAAAAAAGGTAAAAGCTTGGACAAAAATGTTAAATACTACAGAAAAGTTAGAAGATGAGAACTGAAAAAACTCAGTGACTACGAAATTTAAAACCTTATGTAATTTCTAGAGTGTAATGGGGGAAAAAAGAGACCGCAAGGGTTTGCAGAGTAAGTAGTGAAGTAACTGTAGCTCGTGACAGCTGTTTTTTCAGGGGCAAGAGGACAAAGAGAGTTTTAAAACATATAAGGAGTTTTCTGATTAACATATACAGTTTTGTTTTTTCATTTTCTTTGTCTTCACCAAAGATAAGGGTTTTTGGTTTTTTTTTTTTTGGCAGGGAAGGTAGGGGTTGTCTGTTTGTTTGTTTGTTTGTTTGTTTGTTTCAGAGATTGAGGAAGGGGGGAAGAAAGAGAGAAAAACATCAATGTGAGGGAGGAAAATAGTTTTGGTTGACCCCCGTACATGCCCTGACTGAGGATCAAACGTGCAACATCAGTGTGTGCCCTGACCAGGAATCAAACCCTCAACCTTCTGGTGTACAGGACTGTGCTCCAACAAACTGAGCTACATGGCCAGAGTTGATTAACATATACAGTTTTTTTTTAAACATGTTTAAAACAAAATTGGTGTACTTTATAAAAAATTTGGCATGACATCATTCTATGGCATGACCATTTTCCCACGTTAAATTATTCTCTAAATATCATTTTTTATAACTATTATATTGTCTATGACCATACTCTTATGGCACTACATAATTTCAGCAGTCCTTTAAATAAGTAAATTATGATCAGAATTACTTCCAATTTTTTTAGTATCATAAGTTGCACTACAGAGAACATCCTTGTCCATATCTATTAGACATTTTCCTGGGAATGTGATTATAATGTCAAAGGATATGAACATTTTTAAGGTTCTTGATTTGTATTCACAAATTGCTCTCTGAAAAGAAAGATACCGGTTTATATTAAAACTATCCATGTTATTTTGTTTGCCATTTTAAAAGGTTAAAATGGAAGTACATGTACATGTATATAAATGTAGTATATATGTGTAAAGTAAATATATGAAGTAAATTTAAACTTACTAGTCTCTGTGGTAACCACTGTTGGTTTCATAAGTATTATTTTACTCATTAGCAATACACATAACACACGTGTGTATATTTTTATTTGTACAAATGGGATCATACTATATAGGGATAAATACCTCCAATATGTCATTAGTGCATTATAGTATCAATGTGTAGAGTCTGCCATTCTTTCTAATGGCTTCAGAGTCCCATTATATGGATGTACCATAACTTATTTAAACAGCTATGAATGACTTTCTATTTTTTTGTTAATATAAAACAATGAAATAGTGGACATTTTATGGTGCATATATCTTTGTGCCTTTGGATATACCTGAAATCAAGTTCCTAGCGGTAGACCATTGCAGTTTGGAAAAGTCATGCCATCTTAGATTCTTCCATAATATGTAAAAGTGCCTGGGTCCCCACAATCTTGCTACTATTAATTATTAAGTCTTTTAGTCTTTGCCAATTTGGTAAGGAAAAATAATAATTGCTTTAATTTGTATTTCTTAATTACAAATGAGGTTAAGAGTTTATGTATTTGACCTTTGGGGGAGGGGCTTTTTCTTTTAATTGGCATGCTACTCAGAGTATCTAACATATTTTGAGGAGTCTAATTAAGCAGTCGTTTATTGAGCAACTTCATTGTGCCAGGAACAGTGCTTAACTTTAAGATGACAGGCAAGTGCTGTAGAAATGCTTAAGTATTTCCTCAAATTATGTTAAAATGTTAGATTACTTTTTTAAAAAAGTTTTATTTATTTATTTTTAGAGAGAGGAGAAGGGAGGGAGAAAGAGAAGAGAAACATAGATGTGAGAGAGAGAAACATTAATTGGTAGCCTCCTACATGCCCCGACTGGGAACCAAACCTGCAACCCAGGCATGTGCTTTGACCAGGAATCAAACCAGTGACCTTTTGGTTTGTGGGATGATGCTCAACCAACTGAACCACACCAGCCAGGGCAAAATATTAGATTACTTAACACGCATGGCAACAGATAAAGTCCAAGATATATGAATTATTGCATTGCTTTAGTTAATGAGATTTTCATTTTTTAGAGATTTCATTTATTTATTTTTAGGGAGGGAGATAGAAGGAGAGAAACATCAATATGTGGTTGCCTCTCGCATGCTCCCTACTGGGGACCTGGCCTGCAACCCAGGCATACGCCCTAACTGGGAATCGAACCAGCAACCCTTCGGTTCGTAGGCCAGCACTCAGTCCACTGAGCCACACCAGCCAGGGCAGAGTTTCATTTTATATGTTCCCTTATCTACACCAGAAAGTGTTTGGCTGTTAACAGTTACAAAGATTGTGTTCAGTGTTTTTCAGACAGAGGAATTTATCTGAGGTTAGCATACATTTGCTAGAAGAAAAATGTCTAAAGAGGATGATCACTTTTCGTATTAGATTTATTTTTAGTGATGGGAATAAAACTCACCTCTTAAAAAGATGTTTTGGCCCTGGCTAGGTAGTTCAGTTGATTAAAGCATTATCTCAGTATGCCAAAGTTTCTGTTAGATCCTGGGTCAGGGCACATGCAAGAATCAACCAGTGAGGCCCTCGCTGGGTAGCTCAGTTGATTAGAGCATTGTCCCAATATGCTGAAGTGGTGGGTTTAGTCCCTGCTCAGGGTACATGTGAGAAGTGTAAATAAGTGGGACAACAAATCAATGTTTTACTCCCTCCTCCCTCCCTCTCTTTCTTCTCTCTCTCTCTCTCAAATCAATAAATTAAAAAATAATAATTTTAAGAATCAACCAATGAATGCATAATGGGTGGAACAACAAATCTATATTTCTTTCTCTAAAATCAGTTTTTCAAAAAAAGATTTTTTTTTCCTTGATAGTTTGTAGTTAACATTAACAAATCCTTTGTGAAGCAACTACTTGGAATAGCAAAAGATAATCCCATTAACAGCTGTTTTTATCAATAGGGTAAAATTAGAGCATACCCCTTTTTAGAATTTAAATGAAAATATAGCAGCTTTGAAATTATCTTTTGTGTTATTGTTAGTAACATTTAGAAGGAGTATGCCACTCTAGTTAGGAGTGAGGCATTTTGAATATTGGTCCTGCAGATTTAATATCTCTGCCTGTTACCGCATCTTTAAAATGAAAGGAATGATAACATCTGTCTCATAGGTTCATTGTGAGGTTTAAATGAGGTAATGGTAATGTACTTCCTGGCACAAGGTGTTCAACATGTTATTCAAATGACAATTAATGTAATTATAACTAAAAATTCTTTTTTCCAGACATTCAGAAATATATTCCATGTTATCAGCTTTTTAGGTGAGTAGTAAGAGCAAGTAAATAATCCTCTGTGAAAATTACTCTCTGCGAGTGAAGTAATTTTTAAAACTAACAAAGTATCATTGTTATACATGGTGGTGCCAATTAAAATGAAAAGACTTTTTAAAAAATACATGAAAATTCACTTGTTCATTTCAGCCTTATTGATTAGTTCGTTTTCTGTTTTTTTAAAAACTTTATTTAAAAGATTTTATTTACATGGTCTGTTGCTTCTCTCACACCCTGAACTGGGGACCCTGCCCACAACCTAGGCATGTGCCTTGACTGGGAATCAAACTGATGACCTTAGGGTTCGAAGGCTGGCACTTAATCCACTAAGCCACAGGAGCCTGTGTTGTTCCCTATATTTATATGTTTGCTTTACCTGGTCTCCACTATCTCTCCCAGTACCAGTTTACCATGAGGATTGCTTTTTCTTCTCACATCCACTCACCTCATTGCATATTATAACTTAGTGACACATTCTCATACATCAACAAAAAAAGCAAGCTTTTTTCTACCTTTTTATTCCAGTTTATCATCTATTTCCCCATTTATATTTTTCAGTGTTATCTTTTGTCTGTTAAGCAGTTAGTTTCTTTAACCTGCTTCCTGTTGCTTCTCTAGGGTGGAAACTTGTGCTCCTAGTCCGACAGGTGGTAGTTGATACAGACACCGGCCAGCAGTATCTGCGGCATTGTAGATGAGACAAGACAAATTCACACGGACTACAGAGTCCCGTGGAGGAAAAGGGATGGCACGGCTACTCTCTCAAGGGGAGAGGGCCCCTACCCTTGCCTTGACAGACTTTTACTGCTTTTCCTGGCACATTACATTGAGGATGGTCCTCATTTACTATGCACAGGTTCCCTTTAGGTGGTTACCTTTTACAGAAAACAAAGGAGAGGATGCCACTAATCACATCACAGAAGACGGATATTTGCAAATGCAAAGAGAAAAGTGGTTGAACTGGTTCCACTCATCCATGGAAGGCTTAGCATAGGTTTTAGGAAGTCACTTTAAAGATACGCAGTAAACATTTGCTGCCTCAATTTAGTGTGAGTGAATTTTAGCAAAAAGCAAGTCTCAAAGTGGCCTAGGTACAATGCAGGCCTGATTGCCCGTGGGAAAACCTATCTGTGAGTGTGGGTCCTGTGTACCAGACCTCACTTTCCACTGACCTTTGCAAGTGGAAGCTGGGCCCACACCATGCAGAATGGTCTCCTATAAGTGGTAGCACTATTATCCCTAATATAGGCTGTGATATTTTTAAAAACTTTATTGAGGTATTGCTACGTACATATAGAAAAGCACACAAATGAATTTTCATAAAGCACACACCTATAACCACAACCTGGTGTAGTTTAAACAAAATAGCTTTATGGTTTATGTAAACCATACATGAAAAATCAGCATTATTATCTTACAGTCATACTGTATGTACTTATCACTCAGGTTGTGTAAGGGTTGCAGTGGAGCATGTTTAAGGTGAGAAAGATTTATGGTAGGAGATTATGGAAATAAAGGCTTAGTATAACCTTAAACTGCTGTACCGAAAGAGGTACAGCTCCTATAAATGCCTTATATATAATGACATACAAAAATAATTATTGAATGACTAAGGTATTCTTAGTGGAGACTCATTAAAAACCAGCAAACTCCAAAAGGTTATGGGTTCAGTTCCCAGTCAGGGCACATATCTAGGTTGTGTGTTCAATGATCAGGCTGCGTACAGGAGGCAACCAATCACTGTTTCTCTCCCCCCCCCCCCTTTACTTTCTAAAAGCAATGAAAAAAAAATAATGTCCTCAGGTGAGGATTAAAAAAAATAAACCGAGCAAACAATTAAGAGAGTTAAAAGTGATTCATATCTTCTGGTGACTACCTTAAATAATTAGACCAACTTAATAGAGTCTTGGAGCTGAGGAAACCATCTGATCCAATGATGAGAAACCTATGCCTCAAGGGCATAAGGAAAACCACCTAAAATGACTCCCATTTTAAAAAGTTTATTACATATTTTATTTTCCCTTAGCAATAAAATAATAGGCCTAAGAAGTTCATGATGTAACCAATGCCATAGAACTGGTTAATGGTAGAGCAAAAACTAGAAGCATCAGGATTTCTTGAGTTCTAATCCAATCTTATACCACATAGTTTTCCCTTGTTTTAAAATAAGTGAATGTGTAAAAAACAGTCTTCTGTTACCATACTTCTGGGACTCCAAATTGGATAAGCTTTAACACCAGTTTTATGTTCTCGCACATAAACTGGGTGACAAAGTTATGGCCCCATGGCCTGTTCTTTATTTGGCACTCTGTCTATAAATCATTAGTATATTAAGGGTTGTAAAAACAAACAAACAAACAAACAACAAAAAAAACAGAGGGATACACAACAGAGACTATGTGTCCAGCAAAGCCTAAAGTGTTTACTCTCTGGCCATTTACAGAAAGTTCAACACTGCTCTAATACATTGCTTATCAGAATTTTCCATTGAAATATTGATTCACCTCAGGAATCTGGGAGTTCTTGGAAAACAGCTCATTGAAGCCTAAAACTTAGTCACTTAAAAAAAATTCATGTTAAAGAATTTAAAATGAATTCTGCACAATACAGGATGGGGCAAAAGTATGTTTACCATTTTCAGTATGCAAAACAGTTTATTCTTATATTATTTTTTATTAATTATTGTATTATTTTACATATGAACAACTGTAAACCTACTTTTGCCCCACCCTGTGTATCTGTGTCTATTTTAAAATGCCCCCTTCCCAAAAATGTCACATAAAATCAGTGCTAGCATAGATAAGGTATACACTGTTACCTGTTGTTTCCTGTATACCCTGGTGTATTGCCTTATGTCCCACTTTGAGAACCTTAGAAGCAGACAATCCTTGAGAAATACAGGAAAAACCTCTTGTATTTAGAGGTTTCATGTTGGGATAATAAACAGTAAAATACAGAGATCTGGGATCTGTTTGATGAACTGACTAGCCCCCCCTTTGGTAGGTGGGGGGCTAGTCAGTTCATCAAACACTTTATTTTCCCAGTAAAAAATTTTAATGTAAGCCTTTGTAAGTTAAAAAATAAAAAATATATATACATATAGCCCTGGGTGGCTTAGTTGGTTGGAGCCTCATCTCATACACCAAAAGGAGGCAACCAATTGATGTTTCTGTCTCATATTGATGTTTTCTCTCTTTCTCTCTCTTTCTCCCTCCCTCCCTCTCTCCCTCTCTCTAAAAACATCGTTAGATGAGTATTAAAAAAAGAAAGACACATATTGCCTGTTAGGATATACAGGATCTGGCACAAATAGCACCCCTTATGTTATTACAAAATCTTTTATTAGAAAATCATAAGCATGTAATTCTATAACATAACAGTATCACACTCAAGCATATCTTATGACATTTTAGGTGAAATGTTCAAATTAAAACTATACATTATTACACCCATATTATTGCCCTACCAACAACCACACTTAAGCAGGCTTTATGTCTGCTAGACCCTGTATGTTCAGTTCTATGTAACTTAAGGTCTTTAGTGTACAGATTACTATTAAAAGCCTATTACAGTGACTATTATTTGTAAAGGATTTTGCATAACAGTTATTGCATCATCATAGAGAAGAATATTGTTTATCTCAATGAATGTTAGTAGGAGGAAAATGTTACTTGCATTCTGTTATTATTGGAAGGGAAAGAAGGCTGAAAGTAAATGCTTTAGAATTTTTTAGAATTATCTTTGAATTCTTCTTACATCTTTGACTTTCCAACTAAAGAACAAAGACCACTAAACTAAACCGTACCTTGTCCCTCACCCCCAAAAAAAGAAACCCCAAACCAACCAACTCCTGAAACACCTGAAATACTTCTCTGAATTTAATGCAAGTTTTGCTTTTGGAATTAACAATGAATAAATTGCCTTTTTATTATTGTGCTTCATTACTCATTTTACACATTTTCATATGTACCTATATATTTTTTAAAGTTGTCATAAGTAAATTATTAATGAATTTTAAACTGGTTATGTGAACTTATAAATACTTGTATTTAATGATGTTTGTTTTGTTTAAAAAAACGTGATGTGCAAACTCATCTCTTGAAGTTACTCTACTCCTTTTCCTTTTTCATTGCTTATGGACCTCATATTCTATCACTTTAAGTCTGTCACTTTGAGAACTTTCTCTACTGTTTATTTTAGAACTTCATCTGACACACCAGTGGGTATATGGTTTTTGGTTGTTAGGTTAGGAGTAACTATAAAATTAAAGGTAATAATAAAATCATTCACATTTTTAGTTTATTTGAAATGCTTTTAATTTTGGCTTTTACAGCTTTTACAATTCCTCTGGTGAATTAAATGAGCAAGCACTGAAGAGAATACTATCAAGCGTCAAAAAGGTATTCCCTTGTTTACTTTGTCTTTTTTATTGTATTTTCAATTCCTAAAAATGTGTAATGTGTTGACAGAACTTTTATACAGCGTGTTTCTTCACAATGTCCTCCTATAACACAGGTAAACCTTTTTCCCCCCCAGAAATGTAAAAGGGCTGCTCTGAAAGCAAAACTAGTTATTAAAAGTGTTAATCTTGTTTTAATCCTTCCCTTGACTATTCTAATGAACATTGATCTTGTCCTCTTCTGTCTGCCCACCATATCCCTTCCCAGTACTATTTATCCTAGGATTTAATCCATTACTGTTTTTACATAGCCATAGTTACTAGTTTTTATATTGCAGGAACAATTTTCTGTACAGTGCCTTATTTGAATCTTCTACAGTATCCTTGGTGTTCAGTTAAAACTTGTTGAATGATCCAAGTACATTTTTCTTTTCCAAATACTAAATTCTTCCTGGGTCCTGTTTTTCTCTTAAAATCTTTTGATCCCTGAGTTCAAAGTAAAAGTAAATTCAGTAGAAGTTTCTTTCAAAAAAAAAATCCTTCAGTGAAAATGCATGGGCTTTCCCCCTAGTTATATTTGGGCAGTATTTGAAAAGGTACCTTAGCCCTGGCCATGTGACTCAGTGAGATGAATGTTGGACCGCAAACCAAAAGGTTGCCAAGTTTGATTCCTGGTCCAGGTCCCCCATTGGGGGTATGCAAGAAACAAATGATTGATTTCTCTTGCACATCAGTGTTTCTCTCCCTCTCTTTCAACCTTCTTCTATCTATAAAAATAAATCAAATTTAAAAAAGGAAAATTTACCTGTAAAAAGTTTGTTTTTTAGAAGTAATTTTAATTTTCTCAATTTAAAAGAGCAAATATAAAATTTAGTTGCTAAAACTGTCAGATCTCTAAGCAAAGTGTTTATTTTTTTTACAATCACTAAGTTTTCAGCAAATGAAATTTGTATTTTTAATTAAAAAAATACAGGTTTAGTAATACCAAAAATACACTTCCTTAGCATGTTACAGATTCCAAAACCTCAACTTTGTGAGATAGGTGATACCATTCCCATATCAATGTCAGTTTTAAAAGTTACTGGGTTCAGTAAACGAAGTGTCTATATAGGAAACTTAACTTGTTTTCTTTGACTGTCTTAATCTAAATTTTGACTAAAGATGAAGATTTTAAGATAGCAAATGCCATAAAAGAAGTTAATCTCTCCCCCCCCCCCCGCCCCAATCTATATTGAATAAAATAGGCCCTGGCTAGGTAGTTCTGTTGGTTGGAGCACTGTTCTGATACACCAAGATTGCGGATTCGATCCCTAGTCAGGGAACATAAAAGAGGCAAACAATGAATTCATAAATAAGTGGAACAACAAGTCATTGTTTGTCTCTCTCTCTTCCTCTGTCGCTCTCTGTCTCTCTTCCCCTCCCCCTGCCTCTAAAAATCAATTAAATAAAAAATAATAATTAAAAGAAATAGAGAATAAAATTTAGTCCTGAAACTGAATGGAAAGTAATTTAACTGCAAGACAGTTTGCATACTTTACAAAGTGTAAAGTGTATATTTAAGTGTAAGTTTTGTTTACATATAGTCAAAATATTGCTAAATATTAAGAAAGCCATTTTTTAAGGCAATCAATTTTATAGCTTATGACAGTAAGATACAATAATTGTAACCATTAAGGTATATACCTGATATTTTTTTCTATATTTCCTTTCAGGATGTGGTGGGTTGGTATAAATTTCGACGCCATTCAGACCAGATCATGACATTTAGAGAGAGACTACTTCACAAAAACTTACAGAAGCATCTTTCAAGCGGGGAACTTGTTTTTCTGCTATTAACACCAAGTGTAATAACAGAAAGCTGCTCTACTCATCGACTGGAGCATGCCTTATATAAACCTCAGAAAGGGTAAATGTTGGCCAATCACTGGCTATCCTCAGCTAATGGAAAAATATACCCAATATTTTCATAACACTTTTTGTAGCTTACCAAGTATTTTCATGCATTGTTGCGTTAGATTGTCATATAAATGCTCTGAAGTCTGTCTTATCATCCGTTTTTTAGATGGAAAAATGAAGGTCAGATAAGGAAATTAGCTCAGTATGGAACGTTGACTTACGTTTCTGGCACTGAGGGTTTGCTATTAGTTAACATAGGGTAGAAAAAATATGTGTGCTTTAGATACTGGTTGCTGAAGCATATAATGTAGAACTTGAACCTAGGTACTTAAGCAGGTAACCTCTACAAGGAAGCAAGGTAGTTCTTTTTTTTTGTTTAAGATTTTATTTATTTTTAGAGGGGAAGGGAGAGAGAAAGATGGGGAGAGAAACATCCATGTGTGAGAGAAACCTGGATCAGTTCCCTCTTCCATGTTCCCACCTGAGGATGTGGCCCACAATCTAGGTATGTTTCCTGGCTAGGAATCAAGCTAGCAACCTTTCAGTTTGTAGGCCAGTGCTCTCAGTCCACTGAGCCACACCAGCCAGGATGAAGGTAGTTTCTTGATGATATACCAAAATTGAGTTAACAGGGACTTCCCAAAGGTTACATAAACAACATTTTCATGGAATATGAGGAGTAAGTTAAGACTGTCAACTAAGGTTAATTTCATTCATAGAAGATAAGACAAATCTCAACAAGATTGCCTTATTTTGGGGGGGGAGGAGGGGTACCAAATTACTTTATTTGAAGGCATGGAACAAATGAAGGACATATGTGGATGATTGATACAAGTTATAGAAAAGGTAAAGTTAACTTCAACATGCACGTACTACTTTGGTGACCAGGGATGTCATGCACGTGGCTGTGGGAAGGCAGCCTGAAGCTTATTAAGCTCTCTGTACTGTCTCCCAGGGTGTGTTTGTCAAAGAAATTGTCCACCATGTCAGATCCAGGGGCCCCCAGCCTACACAAGTTGGTTACATGGTCCCCCAATTCTATAATGGATTTTACCCTGCTCATCCTGGTAGTGAGTCTCAAAGAAGTCACACAAAAAAAGAGGGTCATTTTTTTCAGTGGCCAGTTTGTACAAGTCCAGTAGTAACTGATTCACACTTTTTTCCAAGTGATTACACTTGGAAATTGTAATGCACATACCATTGCATTCAGCCCATTCTCCCAGACATCATGGTCTGGTCTCTTGATAATTCTGAAGGAAGATTCAGCCACTTTGTTGGTTCTGTAGCTCCATCAGTTTCTCAGCATATTCCTTCTCAAGAGATTGGTGAAGAAAATACTTGGCAAAGTTCTTCAAAGCCACATCATCGCAGTCAAAGTAGTGAGACATAGACAGGTAGGTGTAGGAAGCATAGGGCTCTAGGTGGTTGATGGTGGCCTCCAAGACCTTGTGGTAGTTGTGCTAATCAGTTAAAATAGCCATAAACATTTTTGGGGGTTTTTTGTGCAATTATTTTGCACTATATACATTTCACAACCTTTTACCCCTCCCCCACATACCACATTTCACAACTTTTTTTTTAAAGATTTTATTTACTTATTTTTAGAGAGGGAAAGGTAGGGAGAAAGAGAGAAATATCATTGTGTGGTTGACTGTCAAGCACCCGCTATTGGAGACCTGGCCTGTAACCCAGGCATATGCCCGGACTGGGAATCAAACCAGCAACTGGTTCACAGGCTGGTGCTCAACCCACTGAGCCACACCAGCCAGGGCTACATTTCGCAACTCTTAAAAACCATTTCCACGTCAGTAAATTCTGTCTTAGGTAAGTATTAAGGAATGAGATTTTTTGTTTTTTAGGCTTATAGTAGAAAGGTAGTCTATACTAATAAGTAGATGCTAATCTTTTACTTTATTCTAAATTTATGTTTTAATACTTTATTTCCTCAGACTTTTTCATAGGATACCTTTAGTGGTGGCCAACCTGGGCATGTCTGAACAACTAGGTTATAAAACTATATCGGGTTCCTGTATGTCCACTGGTTTTAGCCGAGCAGTAAAAACACACAGGTGAGATTCCTCAATTGCTTCCCTACTGAACTTATTCCTGTTCTCACTGAAATTACTTTTTTGTTACACAACAGCAAAATAAAAATAACAGGAAAACTAACTAATGATCACATCACTCAAATAAACTACACTGTTTTTACTTTTTCTATATTTCCTTGTAGCATTTGTCCATTTATAAAATACATAGAGGGGGATTGCATATTTTAAAATATTTTCTAAGAATAGGTAGCCTCAAAATAATAATTTTCTAAGGCAGCATTTCATGTTAAAGGGATGGAATTAGACTACATAATAAAGACAAAAAAAAAATGAAGCTTTTCCGATGACTCACAAATAGTATAGGCTTCTAAGTTAAATGTTTTCTGGTCCTTTTAAAGGAATAATTTTCAGAAATAACAACACTGATACCATAGGATACTTCTGGAGTATAAGCTTTATGAGAAACTTTGTGTTCCCAGAGTGCTTAACAGTGTCTTACAGAAGTTAAATACCACATTTCATTGATTCTAAGATGTACATGTTTAAATTTACTGCAAATTGGGATGTTTTAATAACCATGCCTTAGCATTTTTTTATTCATGGCATATAAAATAATACTTCCTCTTTCAATCAGTGATGCCTTAAAGTCAGTAAAATATGATTGTGATTCTTCCATAGCTCAAGTACAGGTAAGTTTTTCATCGTGTCATAATGAATTCTATACACTTACCTGAGGAACTGGTAATTTTTTATAGCCCTGAATTTTTTGAAGAAGATGGATCTTTAAAAGAAGTACACAAGATAAATGAAATGTATGCTACTTTACAAGAGGAACTAAAGGTAAGTTAATTTATTCAACACTTAAAGACCACCTCTAGAATTCATATCAAATTGATCACTGAAATTTTTTAAGGATACCCTGACATTTGACTAGATTTATATGTTAATTTAGTTTAGCTTCAGTTCAACAATTTGTAGGTAACTGAGACCTCAGTCTCAGTGGCCTACAAATACAAAACTATATCTCACTCACATTGTTGTGGCTCCAACTCTGCTCCTGTTTTAAATGCCATCTTAATTCTGAAACCTGAAAAGGCGTTTGTGTTGCCTATCACTACCAGAACCAATAAGTAGAGACAAGGATTGAATCTTTATGGTTACTTTATTCAGATGCCAGCAATCTGAGAAGATGGTGGATTTTGTACCTTAAAAACCATCTTAACATCTTACTTCAAGCTGACCTTTTTCTAGGGAGAAGGAAAGGATACATAAGGGGATGAATCCCACTTGATGACGTGTATGATCTTTTTAATGTATTGCTTGGTGGGGTTTGCCAATATTTTGTTGAGGATTTTAGTGTCTATGTTCATAAGTGATATTGGCCTCTAGTTTTCTTTCTTTGTCATGTCTTTATCTGGTTTTGGGATTAGGATGATGTTAGCCTCATAAAAAGAGTTTGGGAGTCTTCCCTCTTGGATTTGCTGGAATACTCTGAGAAGGATAAGGGTTAATTCTCCTGTGAAGCCATCTAGTCCAGGACTTTTCTTTGCCAGTTTTTTGATTACTGCTTTGATTTCACCAGCTGTTGTCAGCCTGTTCAGGATTTCCCCTTCTTCACTCAGTTTTGGGAGGTTATATTTTTCTAGAAATTTGTCCATTTCGCCCAGGTTTTCAAATTTCTTGACATATAGTTGTTCATAGTAGTTTCTTAAATCCTTTATATTTCTGTAGTATCTGTTGTAATCTCTCCTCTTTCATTTCTTTTTTAAATTTTATTGACTATGTTATTACAGTTGTCCCATTTTTTTCTCTCCTTTATTCACCTCTGTCCTGCACCCCCTCTCCCACCAGCATTCCCCCACCTTAGTTCATGTCCATGGGTCGTACATATAAGTTCTTTGATTTCTCCATTTTCTATATTATTCTTAGCCTCCCCTTCTGTATTTTGTACATACCAATTACTCTTATTCCCTGTATCTTTCCCCTATCCCCACTCCCCACTGATAACGCTCCATGTGATCTTTATTTCTATAAATCTGTTCCTGTTGTAGTTGTTTGCTTAGTTTTTTTTAGGTACAGTTGTTAATAATTGTGTATTGTTATTTTACTGTTTATAGTTTTGATCTTCTTTTTCTTAGATAAGTCCCTTTAACATTTCATATAATAAGGGCTTGGTGATGATGAACTCCCTTAACTTGACCTTATCTGAAAGCATTTTATCTGACCTTCCATTCTAAATGGTAGCTTTCCTGGATAGAGTAAGCTTGGATGAAGGTCCTTGCCTTTCATGACTTTGAATACTTCCTTCAAGCTCCTTATTGCCTGTATCATTTGTTTTGAGAAATCAGCTGATAGTCATATGGGAACTCCTTTGTAGGTAACTGTCTCCTTTTCTCTTGCTGCTTTTAAGATTCTCTCCTTATCTTTAATCTAGGGTAATGTAATTTTGATGTGCCTTGGTGTGTGCTTCCTTGAGTCCAACTTCTTTGGGTGTCTCTGGGCTTCCTGGACTTCTGGAAGTCTATTTCCTTTGCCAGATTGGGGAAGTTCTCCCTTATTTTTTCAAATACCTTTTCAATTTTTTGCTGTTGTTCTTCTCCTGCTGGCACCCCTATGACTCATATGTTGGAATGTTTACAGTTGTGCCAGAGGTTCCTAAGCTTCTCCTCATTTTTTTGAATTCTTGTTTCTTCATTCTGTTCCCGATGAATGCTTTAATTCTTCCTTCTGCTCCAAAACATGGATTTTAGTGCCAATTTCCTTCCCTTCACTGTTGGTTCCCTGTGTATTTTTATTTCACTTTGCATAGCCTTGCTGTGCACAACCCACTGTGCTATCACAGGTTTTTACACCAGAGGTTTTGAGGCTTTATTTCCCCTCACTGGAACCCTGGATTAAGCAGTCAGTCTTGGTCCCCAGTTATTCCTCCCAGTTTATCTGCATGCAAATGTTGGGCCTCCAGCCGCTTTCTGACCGCCCAGTCCTCTATCCGCCACCTTGCTGTGCGTGTCCTCTCTGCCCTGGCTGCCCATCTCCACCCCTCGTACTGGTCTAGATGAATGTTTCTTCTTTAATTCCTTGGTTGTCAGACTTCCGTACAGTTTGCTTTTCTGACAGATCAGCGTGTTTTTTGTTTCTAAATTTGTTGTCCTTTTGGTTGTGCGAGGAGGCAAAGTATAATACCTGCACCTCCATATTGGCTGGAAGTTCCAGTACCATCTGTCTCTTACTTTTCTGTGCAATCTTGTTTCCTTCTCCTGTCTTCTGTCTCCAGGCATGCAGTAGCCATTTTGTGCCTAGATTCTCTCTACTGCACCATCCCCACCCACTCTTTATTTCTGATTTTCTTTAAGTCTTCTCTTTTTTCTTGATGAATCTGCTTAAAGGCTTGTCAATTTTGTTTATCTTTTCAAAGAACTGGCTCCTGGATTTATTGATCCTTAGCACTATTCTTTTAGTCTCTGTGTCATTTAATTCTGCTCTGACCTTGGTTATTTCCTTCCTTCTACTTGCTCTGGGCTGTCTTTGTTGTTGTTCCTTGAGTTCTTGTAAGCATAGGGTTAGGTTGTTTATTTGAAATGTTTTTATCTTTTTTAGGTAGGCCTGTATTGCTATGAACTTCCCTCTAAGGACTGCCTTTGCTGTGTCCCAACTGCCTTTGACTGTTGTGTGTTCATTTTCATTTGTTTCTAGAAACTTTATGATTTCTTCCTTGATTTTATTATTGATCCATTCATTGTTGAATAGCGTGCTTTTCAGTCTCCATGAATTTAAAGAGTGTTTTTGAGTATTTTCTTTGAGGTTGGTTTCTAGTTTCAGTCCCTTGTGGTTGAAGAAAATGTTTGATATGATTTCAATTTTCATGGATTTGTTAAAGCTTGTTTTGTGTCCTACCCTGTGGTCTATCTTTAAAAATACTCCATGTGCATTTGAAAAGAATGTGTATTTTGCTTCTTTGGGATGAAAGCTTCTATATATGTAAGTTTGTTTGATCTAGGGCATTGTTCAGAGTTGCAATATCCTTGTTGATTCATTTTTTGGAAGATCTATCCATTTTGACAGTGGGGTGTTAAAATCCCCTGCTATAAATGTGTTGCTGTCTATATCTTTCCTGAAATCCTCAATATTTTCCTTATATATTTGGGTGCTCCTGTGTTAGGTACATATATGTTTATAATGTTTATGTCTTCTTGACGGATTGTTCTGTTGAGTATTACGAAGTGTCCTTCTGGGTCTCCTTTTATGATCTTTGTTTCGAAGTCTATTTTGTCTGATACAAATATTGCTACCCCAGCTTTTTTTTCCTGTCCATTTGCTTGGAGTATTTGTTTCCAGCCCTTCACTTTCAGTCTGTGTAGGTCTTTTGTTCTGAGGTGGGTCTCTTGTAGGCAGCATATGTGTGGGTCATGTTTTCTTACCCATTCAGCTACCCTGTGTTTCGATTGGAACATTTAATCCATTTACATTTAAGGTTACTATTGATAGGTATTTATTCATTGCCATTTTATCCTCTTTGTACCTGTGTTCCCCTCTCTCTGACTCTTTTTCTTCCTCTCCTTAAAGCAGTCCCTTTAATATATTTTGTAGTGCTTGTTTGGTGGGGTGTATTCTTTTAGCCTTCTTTTGTCTGGGGAAACTCCTTTATTCGTCTTCCAATTTAATTGAGAGTCTTGTTGGGTAGTCTTGGTTGCACGTGTTTGCTTTTCATTACTTGGAATATTTCTTGTCATTCCCTTCTGGCTTATTGTATTTCTTTTGAGAAGTCAGCTGCTATCTTATCGGGGCTCCCTTGTAAGATACTTCCTTTCTCTCCCTTGCTGCCTTTAAGATTCTCTCTTTGTCTTTGAATTTTGTCATTTTATGATGTCTTAGAGTAGGCCTCTTTAGGTTCCTCTTGATTGGGACCCTCTGTGCTTCCTGGATTTGTGTGCCTTTTTCTGTCATCAAATTAGGGTACTTTTCCATCATTCCTTTTTCACACAGGTTTTCTATCCCTTTCTCCTCTTTCTAGTATCCCTATCATATGGATATTATTATGATTCATGTTGCTCTGCATTTCTCTTAACCCCTCTTCATTCTTTTTGAGTCTTTTTCCTTTTCTTGATTTTTCTGGGAGTTTTTTTATCTACCTTCTCATCATCCTTATCTATCATCCAACTCACTGATTCAGTCCTCTGCTTCATCTAGCCTGCTCTTGATTCCTTCTACTGTGTTCTTCCATTCAGAAATTGTATTCTTCATTTCCTCCTGGCTTTTATTGATAGTTTGTGTCCTTTTTCATATTGTTGTAGTTTGAAGTCAGTTCCTTGTAGCTTCCCTATAGTTTTGGTAATTCTGAGTTCATTGAGCTTCCTTATAACCATTGCTTTGAACTCAATATCTGATCGTTTACTTGCCTGTATTTCATTTAGCACTCTTTCTGAGGATTCCTCCCTTCCTTTTGATTATGGGTTGTTTCTTTGTCTTTCCATTATTTGTCAGACTCTTCTTGTTTGCTTCTTCTTATTCTTCTTTGACTTCCTGACTTCATAGTGTGGAATTCTATGGTAGGAGACCTATGAGATTCAGTGGTGCATTCTCCTTGATCTCTTGAACTTGATGCTCTTGGGATGCCCTTTATGCCATTTATGTTGGCTCTCTGGGTGTAATTGGGTTTTGATTGTTGTTGTGTTGTTCTTTGGTAGGTCCTTCCTTCCAGCTGGTTGACTGAGGATCACTCCACCCACCACATCTTATATGTTGTTCCGCAGTTAGTCAGGTTGTGCGAAAGCTGATTCTTCTGTCTGTCCCAAGTTATAAGGCTTCTTTCTCGCTATTACTGTTAGTTATTTGTTCGGGTTGATTTCTCCACACTTTAGTTGTAATTCGATTGGTCCTGGGAGGAGGTTAGCATGGCTTCCATCACTCCCTTCCATCTTGCCCTCCATATTTTGTTCTTTTTAATAGCTGTGTATTTCATAGAAGAGTAATATTAGAATGTTAGAAGTATAACTTGAGCTGAAATAGGGAATGTAGGGAAGTATATTACAGTAACTGCAGGCAGAAAGCAGTTGAGTTTCCAGAAGGAATTGGAACCAGGAGCTAGAATATCATCACAACCTTCTCTCCCTCTGTGTCTGCACATTGGGTTCCTTTACAGTATCTACATATCTTTATTCATCCACTGGCTGACCAGAGAATGGCTAGCCCACAACTATAGTTAGATCTCTTCTATTCAAGAGATTAGGATTTCCTGATTTGCTATGTATTATCTGTGCTTGGGTAAGCTAGAATGAAGTTGTTGAAGGGGTTATTTGTGAACCCTTATGGCAGGGTGAACAAGTTCATGATAAATATGCTGAGTAGACATTTCTAAAAGTATCCACTAAAACTGGCTATACCAAACTTTTACCCCATAATTAGGAAAGTAGTTACTTTTGATTTGATATTATACTAAAAAAATTGTATTATTTATATTTTGTTAAGATATATTCCCAAAATGATATCACTGTAAAGGGCATTAGTACTTCAAACTGATGACACATGAGATTACTGCTCTCTTCAAAAGTAATTTCTTTTATACGAATTATGAAATTACTGTATGAAAATTCTTTCATAACAGTAAAATAGTCATTTTTCTTTAATGATAAATATCTGCATTAACTGTGTACCTCTCAAAATAGTATAGTGCTTTTTGTTTCAAACCAAATTAAATATTTCTGTGTATTATCAAGGGAAAAACTGATATGATAAAGCTATTGTGTAAATGGGAAGTTAATATATCTGGAAAACATTTTATACCCATTAAGCACCATACAAATGCTCCATAGGTATAAAATAGCAAAATTAAAGTTTTACAAAAAGCAAATAGCCCTGGTTGGTGGCTCAGTGGATTGAGCGCTGGCCTTAGAATCAAAGGGTCACTGGTTTGATTCCATCAGGGCACATGCCTGAGTTGCAGGCCAGGCCCCAGTAGGAGAGGCAACCAGATGTTTTTCTCTCCTTCTCCCTCTCTTCCCCTCTCTAAAAAAAATCTTTTTTTAAAAAAAGCAAGTAATATTTCATATTATGTACCGTGAAGGATTTTGTATTATTCTTAAACCCAGGTGGTAGTACAGAACTTGGAATTTTATCTATACCCTTAAATTATTTTGCAGAGGATATGTAAAAAAGTAGAACACAGTGAGGAAGCAGTAGATAAACTACTAAAGGATGTAAACAGATTAAAACGAGAAATTAAAAAAAGGAAACAAGCACAGATTCAAGCAGCACGTAAGTAAAAATTTTACACATCACTACTTTCTGTGCCTAAAAAAATTCTGATTTGAATTATAAATGAGCAAGCTACACTGATGAATTTGTCCACCTTAAGACTAAAAGTAATAGTTTTCATATACTCTTAAATCTCACTGAACAAGGAACATTATAGCATATAAATTGTAATTTGGGATTATGCAAGTTATTTTTCTCAGGTTAGATAATTTGAGAAAATTGTTTTTGACTCAACTTTACTAACAAATACGTAATTGTAAAACCTTTGTAGAACTATTGTGTGTTGAACTGTTATTTTATTTTGTTTAGGAGAGAAGAACATCCAAAAAGACCCTCAGGAGAACATTTTTCTTTGTCAAGCTTTACGGACCTTTTTTCCAGATTGTGAATTTCTTCATTCATGTGTTATCTCCTCGAAAAACAGGCATATTTCGGAAAGTAGCTGTAATACCAATCATCAGCTCAGTGTGGTAGACAACCTGACCCTAATGGTAAAATACACCGACATTCCTGAAGCTAGCCCAGCTAGTAGTGCACAGCAAATGTTGAAGCGCAAAGCTTTAGAAACAAATGACAGATGGCAATTCAAGAAGTCACGGCTGTTAGAGATACAAAACAAACCATCTAAAACAGATACTGATAGTAGTAACCAAGAAAAAGCATCCACAAGCAGCCCAGAAACAGATGAGATTGAGAAAATGAAGGATTCCGATGACTATCCACAATCTCCTACATTTTGACCCTTTTATGCCAAAAGATTTTGATTGGCTGAAGGGTAAAACCAAATATTTCTATTGTTTTTGCTATGTACAGCTGTTTGCACTCATACATAAATTTCTAGTGCATTTATTTTATAAAGTATTTTTAAAACCAAAACCTTTTTTGTCCCTTTTACTAAACTATTGAGGGAAAGTTTAGATAGTCTTTTAAACTTGTACAGCATTCTTTAGAATTGGGAAAGTTAATATGAATATTTATTTTTTCTAAGTCATTGCAATTCCAACTCATTATGATAAATAGTACATTATGATTAGGGTTGCCAGATAAAATTCTGGACATCATACAATGCTAGGGACATACTTATAGTTAAAAATTGTTCATTGTTTATCTGAAATTCAAATTTAATTGTATGTCCCATAGTTTTACTTGCTAAATCTGGCAGTTCTAATTATGCCACGACTATAATACAGCACAAATAGTTTGGATTCTATAAAGTGAAGTACAAAATGGTACTGTGTTTTTTACATTTCACAGCAGCCTCTCATTTCCAATCTTATTCAGTTGTCCTAACCACACCTAATTTGACAACTATTTTTTAAAAACTATTTTTGTTGTCCTTCCAAAGCATTTACTTAGTTTTTATTGCAACAGTAACTTTCTTTTTAATGCTCATTTTCATCAATACAATAATATAACTAAACACATATGGGAACAAAATAGCTGCTGCTTGGAGGTGCAGACTCAACGGGTAGGAAAGTCTTGGACTTCAGCATGAGTTTTAGGAAGAATGTTTAATGTAGTTTAACCCAGTTTAATCTAATAAGGTGGTTAAGTGAAGCTTGCATAAGAGCTCTTTGTGTTTTTGTGTATTTATCTTTTTCATAATTGTGAAGAATTTTCACATGAAGCCTCCACTTTTTACTCACTGGATGAAATACTGAACATACACTTTACTACTCTTCCATCTGTTACTTCCTAATAGAGCAAATTTGTAGCTAGTATAAAAAAAGTATCATCTTTTATCTATGTTAACATGCATTAGTTACCACAGGGTGCTTACGAAGCCCACGTAATATCAGGGATGATTTTACAAACAGTGAGTTTCTTCTGGAATTGTCTGGCTTCATAAGAAGCACTGTTATGTTGGTGGAGGGCAGTGGGGGGAGATAGGTTGTTAGTATGAATCACCCTATTAAAAAGTAACTGCAAACATCACCAGAGCATATAAAACATAATGACTAAATGTAACCAACAAATGAACAAACCTGGGCATATGGGCTAGATTAGGAACGTTAGAGGCAACAGATAGGCAACATACATGCAAATGTCTTCTCTAGATAATAGCTTGAGATTTTTCAACAATCCTACATATTTACTCAGAAGTCTAAATGTGCCTTCATGGAAAGTTCGATTTGCTAAAATGCCATAACAAAAGCATTTAGCATTTAGCTCATACTGTTGCACAATAATACATCTCTTTTGAAGAAAGCAATAATGAACTTTCAATTAAAGGAGTTTGCTCAGGTAATTACACAGCTGAACTTCCACAATTGAGTTTGATGACCCAACATTTAGGGTATTTAATGAAAAAGAGGAATAGTCCTTACAGGAAGGACTGCAGTTTTTCTCCATCTTTTGGCAATGACATAATAGATTGCCTATTCGTCAGTTTACTTACAGGACTCTACCACTTTCAGGATAGACTAGACCAGGAAAAAAATGTTAGGTCCTGTAACACCACCACTATCTAGCCAATGTAACATCTTTACAAAGGGAAGATACACCGCACTACACAGGTATACCTGTATTTGCTAGTTACAAAATCTCCGTGAGCGATTTCAGGTCCACACCCTGTCACATTGGAATTGTACATTATACAAGCATTCAACTTTCCTGTACCCAAATCCCTAAAATCCCACTTATAAGACAGAACCTGTACCTAAAGTAAAATTCCAATACTAGCCATCCCTTCCACATCTAACATCCCATTATCAGCAGTCTATTATTTATAGGCTATTTGTAGACCAGATATAAGTGACAATGCTACAGTACCAACTTTTTAATTCATGTGTATGTAAATGTAATCATTACTAACACCTCAAATAACCTGGTTTTATTTAATGAAGATTCATTGGTGTGGATAGGAAGTACTTCTTTACTCCTAAATACTTTTTCCTTGTAAGATTTCATTAAGAGCTAAAGACAATACAGTTTGATAAAATTTACTTTAGCGTACTAATTTTTTAAAGGTTATTAAATCTTTGAGTCAACCATTTATTTTAAAATAATTTTATTGATGATAACATTATATAATTTACTCCCGATATTTGATGTTACAAACTTTAGGGTCTTTGAGGTACACAGGATCCTTGTATGTAACTGGCATAAACCCTGTAAAGAGATAATTAAAGTTCTTTACCAAAGAAAACAGGCAAAATTTTGATTAGCTCAAATTATTTTTTCAGATGTTCTTACCCATTATTTGAGCTCTCTTAATCGCTTTTGTGATTTCTTTTTGTTTCTTCCCACAAAGACCTATAAAATAAAATGCTTCCTTATTCATACAAAAATGCCAATATTCAAAATGTGTAACAATTGTCTAAGTAAAAGAAGGATTGGGAAACCTGTAAAGAGCCGGAGAATAAATATTTTTAGCTTTGTGTGCAATATAGTCTCTATCATAACTTCTCTATCCTTTATTGCACAAAGCAGCCAGCTATGGATGCCATGGAAACTGAGCTACTTGCAAAAATAAGTGGCAGATCCAATGCGGCCTATGGTAAATAGGCCCCTGTTTATAAATAACAGTCTAGGAGTAGTTATAGTATACACCAAATACCAACACAACTTTTTAAGCCCAGGTTTTCTACACGTCAGCTTATAATACCTGCGATAAGAAGGCATGTAAAATAATACCCCTTTTGGACTAAGATGCTTTCTTAAATAGTAACCATTCTAATAGTGATTTATAGCACTATTTGAAAATTTGCCAGTTTTTTTTATCAACTCTCCTTAGGGTTACCTATACATTTAATGTGATTTCAAAAAAAAGATTGACTGGCTTTTTCTCCACCTCAAAATTGTAAATGCCAATTCTCAACTTTATATATAATAATAAATAAGCAAGAATGGCCAGGAAAACTCTGAAAAAGAATGAGTGGATATTAAAAATTAAAATATTTTTATTAACAGTAAGGATGGCTTTTATAAACAATAATATTCAAGGAAGTCATTAAGTAGAACACAAAATCTATGCCAAGAAATAATTTTTCACCAATTACATCACACAAAACTAAAAAGAAAAGTCACCCTAGTGAAGAAAAGCAAGGGCACAGGTACTGACTTGTCTATGCTGAGAGGGGGGAATACTTCTGTGGGCCCTATGGGTAACGATATGGCAACACCTATCAAAATTATGAATACATATTCCTCAAACTTGAGTCCACTTAAGAGCCCTTTTTTATACTCTCACATTACGGCATTCTGTATATACAATAGTTTATGCACCTTGTTTCTAAATGAGAAAAATTTAAAAACACCTAGATGCCCATCAATAAAAAAAAGTGGTAAAAGACATTAGGGTATATCCCTAAAATGACATACTATACAGCTATTAAAAAGACTAAGATTTAGATTTGAAAATCTAAGTTTGCAAAGCAAGGCATGGAGCAGTATGCATGATATGCCTCATTTATATAAAATCAGGAAATATCTATGTTATTGCTTTCTTATGCATTAAATTGTCTAGAAGGATGTGTAAGACACTGAACACTGGTTGCCCCTGAAGAGGAAAACAGCATCTGCCTTGTTTCCTTGGAACAAATCCTCTTTCTGCATTCCTTGGAAGACACTGAGCAAAAAGAGATGGCTAGATTTCAGAAAATTTACAAGTTACCCTCATATCACTGCTGAAACAAAAGAACGAATCTATAAATCAAAGTTATAGAACTGGATAGAACACTAACTTGCCAGTTTTCTTAAATAACAAAAGTATTTAAGTTAACTGTAAGACAAAACAAAATACCTGTTATGTGCCTTCCATGAATGCATCCAGTAAATGGAGAAATAAACTGAGACAAAAGCTGTTGGAGTTTCATTTGGAGAGGAAAACAAATTTACATTAATACATGTGTTACTCAGCCTTGATTGTGCACATTCCAGAAAGCATAATACCTCATGTCAACTTCAAGTTATAGAAAGTTTATTAATAAATTTCAGTCAAATGTCATAAAATAATGAAAAATACTGAACTATGCTCTTCCTATTAATAGGTCATCTTTCAAAATAACTAACAATTATTAAAGTTAATATATCTTACCCAGTCTGTTCAAAAGTCTGTACAAGAGATTAATGAGCATATTCTTGCAGTTCTAAAACTGTTTTCTTGACTTTTTTTTTAGAGACACTTTTCCAACATACTGCTGCTTACCACAAAGTACTAAACATTTCATCTATCATGATAGGCTGTCACATAATACCAGACTACAGTGAGGTCCTTAAGAGGTATAGATATATCAGGTAATTTGCTGTAATGACGTTTCATTAATTTAAATTCTTCAGCACTTCTCAGGTTCCAGGCACTATGCATAAGCATCCTAATATGTTGCTTTTTAAAGTGTCTTGGCTTTTCTCCCTTTAAGGCAGCTATCACTTTACTCTGTTGTCAGTATACTTAACTCCACCATCATTCTCTGCCCCAGATTTGCCCCTTAACTTGCTGACAGCTATAGAACAGATAAAATTGTATTTGAAGCAGTGATGTCGGTGAGGTACAATAATCAACTTCACTAGAGGAGCTTTTTCCAAACTACTCACCTCTACATGCCACAGTGAGCTATTATTAGAATAAAATAGATGCCTTATACATAGAAATATAACCAGATTACAATGTTGCTAAAACAGCTGCCCCTGCACAAAGCCTGTTATAAAACTGACTTGATTCTCTTTAATTAAGACTAATAAAGAAGCAAAATCCTAGAATGAAGTATAGTGAAGTAAAACCAGATCTCACCTGTACATTCTTATAATCTACACGTTTTCCACACAAAATACATTTTTTAAGAGGCTCCTTATAAGGATTTTCCATTGGAACGGGCTAGGATAGAGGAAAAAAAATCTGATAACAAAAGTTTAATGTGTTAAACTTAAATCTAAAAAAACCCCAAATTGAATCTATCCAAAGGATTAGTTCTGTCTTTCTTACTATGAAAAGGAATAACACAACATTTTGGCTTGCAAAAGAAAAAACAAGTACTTCTGAAAAGGATTCACCATTATAAAGATTTCACTGCTTGTCCAAGTTTTGTGCAAGTTCTTTACTTTGTTTTAGTTTGGCTAAGGAGGAATCAAGTCATGGAGGTTCTAGGATAAAATACAATCTTTGGAGGAAAAAAAGGGCTCATGGGAGGGAAAAAAAAATCAAATCTGCACTAAGTGATTCTCTCCTCAAATGTTTGTCCAGGTTGTAGGTAAGTAAAAATTCTTTTTTTTTTTTTTAATTGAGTTTGAGAGAGAGAAACACATCAATCTGATGTTCTACCCACTGATACATTCATTGGTTACTTCTTGTATGTGCCCTTATGGAGATCGAACCTGCAACCTTGGTATGTCAGCATGATGCTCTAACCAACTGAGCTACCAGGTCAGGGCTAAAAATTCTTAACTTCGATTTAAATTTTAAAGATCTTACAGCAAAACAGATTCCATATGCAATGGTTAAGTTAGTAGTAATTCCTAAACCCATCCCCATATTTCTGTATCAGATGTTTTATCACTTTTTGTTACAAAAAGATAATGAGCTGTGGGGGCTGTGGCTCAGTGGAGAGAGTGCCTGCCTGAGAATTGAAGGGTCACCTGTTGACTCCCAGTCAGGACACATTCCTGGGATGGGGGCCAGGTCCCTACTTAGGACTGTGTGAGAGGCAACCAATTGATGTATATCTCACTCAAGTATGTTTCTCTCCCTCTCTTTCTCCCTCCCCTGTCTCTAAAAATAAATAAATAAAATCTTAAAAAAAAAAAAGAAATGACCCCATGGTTTACTATAATAAGGTTCTTTGATTACAACTTTATGGCTCCCAGACTTCTTCATAAGTTTGTGTCAGCTTTAGGTTTTTCCTTTTCTTTGCCACTGTCTCTGTCACAATGCTTCCCTCCTACAATGAGTATTGGCATCTCCAGTCTAGACATTCTTAATCTAGAAATGGCCTTGAAGTCCTTGAACCCCTGTAATTAAATGTAAAATTTCAAATGAGTGGGACTGTGTGCCTTTTTCTGAAAGAGCCCATAGCTTTCATTAGCATCTCTGTGGGGTTTATAACTTAAAAAGAAGCTCTTGTAATCCCTTTCCTCCCTTGAAGTATGGTGTGAATTGAAAAAACAAGAGAGAAGCTCAGAAGACTAGAGTTATTTTTTCAAATCCTCATACTTTCTTAAACCAATTTATATTCAGCTCATGTGTACTGACTGACTATAATCCTTCCCTACACTGTGCTAAGTGCTTTGTATGGTTTGATTAGTGTCAAATTATCTTTGCAAGTAGCAAGAAAACCTTATGGCCCAAATCCAGTTCCTAGTATTTAAGATCCATAAAACTACATCTACATGTACAGGTATGAAACTTTCATTTTGATCCTTCATTTATTAAGACACCCTCCCCACCAAAGTGATGAATGGAACAAAGATGAATTTGAAATGGGGAAGAGATCCAACCTGTAAGTAAGCTTTTTTGGATTTTCACCACCCCACCACAACCTATTTAACTCCCAAGGTACATATCCTTAAGTTTAAGATCTAGGAAGAAAAATGTGGTATGACAGAAGCCATGCTTCTTACTAGTAATCTAGAAATTCTCTTCAAAACTCAAGTGACTACTCAGCAATGAATTATAACTTTCAAACTCAGACTAATGATTAATAATTGTTTTGTCCTCCAGTTGAAATCTTCAAATAGCTAAAATATAAGAATATGGCCATATTTGCAAATGTTTCATAAAAAGGAAGAAAAAAATTCTTACCAGGTCCCCATTGCTGGTTACCTGTTGATACTGTGAACAACGTCTCCATAGCACTGCAATTAAACAGAAACAGCAACAAACTAATTCTTCTTGTTAGTTGAGTAATAAGTAAATTGTTTTTACGGAGGTAAAATGAATCAAGGGACATAAAATTAAAGACACCTGAATATAAAAGACAGGTTTTACATTCATTACACCCACAATAATTGGATAAAAACCTTTAGATTTGAGGCAGAGTAAGACTTAATATGGATGTGCTTTCCAGGGCTTTGGATAAAGGGCATATACATCATTTCCCCACCCATACACAATCTCCCATGTGTTCTCTTCCAGTATTTGTTTTCCTCCACTCCATGGTTAGAAATAGACTTTTAATGCAAATACTTAGGGAAGAAAGCAAGAGAAAAGTACCGTCATACCAAAAGGAAAATGAGCAACCGAACCTCTACAGAGAGTAGTTATTGATAGAGAAGCACACAGAAGATAAAAGTGCAGAAATGAGAAACTCAATGGCCTATGTCACAATTTCGCCCTGATCTGGGGCCTCAAACATCTGGAATTTGCAGCTGCTGGAATGTCCCTTCCTTACCAAGCTTACCCGGATATCTTAGGCAAGTCCCTGCCTCTTTTTAATAATCACTTCATTACTCTTCAGTACGGAAACACCTCACGCCTCTTAAACTTTAAAATACTAGTCATGGGCTATTACCGATCCTCACCTATCTTGGAAAGACTTACATAGCATGGAAACCAGCGTCGCTTAGCTAACGGTGGCGACTCCACCGACCTAATTCTCGCTAAGGCAATGGCTGCAGTGCTACACGGAGCAAAGGATATGGAGACTTTACCGGCGTGAGTTCCGGGATTTGGGAGGCTGACAGCGACCGTTAAGAAGTGAGTCAACTTTTTCCTTCCTAGACCACTACAAACAGCAACCACAGACGCCATTGTTCCTCGATCCTCCTCTTCCTTTCCTCTTTCTAAATCGTCCTCACAAGTCCTTTCCGGTGCCCTTCCCCGGCTGGCTGGAGGACTCGTCAAAGGTTCCGCAAGCGGACGCCAGGGATTCGGCAAAAAAAGTGTTCAACGCATTTGCGCCGCCCCTTTACCTTCCCACTCTCAGCACGCCGCCAGCCCGCGACACTTAGGATTGGACGACCAGAAGGCGCGCTGCTACTTCCGTGCCTCCGCTTCCGGCCTGAGAGCAATCCATTTGTCTCTCTCCAAGGTGGAAAGAGAGGGTAGCGACTTTGGCGGCTGTTGCTGCTGTTGCCCTGTCCTCAATTCCCTCCTCCGCTGTGGTTTGGCCGCTGAGGCCCGAACGTCGTTCGGGCAGGGCCCCTGCCATGGATGTAGGTGGTTCCCGTATCCGCCGGCGGGTGTCTGTCCGCAAAAGGAACCGTCCTAGCTTAGAGATCCTTTTTGCCGCGCCCACTGTGGCCGAGCTCAGGCCCGGCGATGAGGAGGAGCAGGAGGAGGACAAGGAGGAGGAGATGGTGGCTGGGAGCCGGCGACGGAAAACTGTGGGCGTGCAACCGGTCGAGGTACAAGCCACATTGGCTCTCACATTATCCCGAGTTCTGCATCCCATTTCCCACCTTTGGGGCAGTGATACAAACCTAGGTCTCCTGCTGCTCTTACCCACTGAAAGAGGAGTGGGAGACCAGGATAGGAGGCATGGAACTTGAAACTCCAAAATGTTGACAGCTTCCTTCTCATGTGCAAACAGTTGATCAGTTATCTATTAGTCTTCTTGTGCTTACCTCAGTTTTGTTAACCCTGTTAATTCTCACTTATGAGGCATTGCCTTGTCATCCCTGTTTTTATATAGATGTGAAACTTAGATCCTCGAGACATAAGATAAATGGCATGACTGGGGCAAAGTTAGATTTCGAAGTCACTGTTGCTTCTGCTGTGCTAATAAAATCTCCCATGTATTGCAGACAAATTATGTGTTAGGTGCTTTGTTAAGCTAGTTACATTAACCAGATTTTACAGCAGAAATCAGGCCCTGAGAGGTTAAGAAACTACATTTCTGACTACAAATCCTGTTTTTAATCACTGCACCATATTGCTACCTCCGAGTTTACATCTCTTCTATTTAGTAGATGGCCTTAAGTCAATATGCAGACTCTCCCTCTCAATTCCAAATTCCTAGGGCCAGTATCCTTGGAGTGTCCAATAGTACAAGCATGGTTTTGTTACAAGCCACTCAGTAGATTGGAGTCTGGGAGGGGAGGGTTAGTGCAGTATCAGAACTTCTAGTGAGATGACATCTCAATAGATGTCCACCAGCCTTGCTACCTACCTCTTGAAGGATTTAGTATTGACTTAAGAATTAGGATCCCAGCATCATTATGCTGTAGGAGGGAAGTTTAGGCAAGTCACTTACCCTCTCTAGGCCTCCATTTCTTCATCTGTAAAGTGGGGATGATAATACCTATTTCATATGATGATTTACATTTAGATCTATGATTCATATGTGACCATTTAGTTAAAAACCTGGTATAGCCCCAGGCTGAAACTTCTGTTCTTGAAGCTAGAATTGATCATAAATTTTTTTGTTTTCTTTCCAGAATCATGATAGTGAAGAGGACATGTTTGGTGACTATGATAGCTTTGCTGAAAATTCTTTCTTAGCTCAAGTTGATGACCTGGAACAAAAATATATGCAACTTTCTGAAAATAGGGAACACGATGCAGACCTTGCCACTGCAGATCTTTTTTCAGAAAGCATCAAACATAACAAACTCAGCATTACTACTGTAGGCAGCTTTATTGAATTAAAAACACATGAGCACACAGAGAACCAGAGCGGGCACAAAGATGTCTCTATTGAACCTGGACCTGATCTTTTGTGTGAATTGCCTTCTTCACAGGTTTTATACTTTGAAAATTTGCAGAACTCTTCAAATGATTTGGGTGATCAGTCTACTAAAGAGAGGTATTGGAACCCATCCTCTCACAAGACTGTGAGTGAGGATTTGCTGCATAATAGCATAGAGCAACTCCAGCAAACTGATGAATCCTCTTCTAAAGTCAGAACTAGTTCAGATGTGAATAGGAGAAAAAGCCTTAAAGATCTTCTAAAAAGTACCATGGCTGGAAATGCAAAGGCTCAAACACCAATATTTTCGAGGACTAAACAGCTCAAAGAGAACCTCCTATCTGAAGAAATTAATGTTGCTAAGAAAACAATTGAGTCACCATCAGATGATCTTGGTCCTTTTTATTCATTACCCAGCAAAGTGAGAGACCTTTATATTCAGTTCAAGGGAATTGAAAAATTATATGGTAATGCTTTTTGCTGAAATGAAAAAGATTTTGCTACCGTTACCATAGTATTAGTGCAAATCAATAGAAAACAGATCCTTCCATGGTCATATATCACATCTTAAAAACAAAGTTTCAATCCTCTCTCAATCTACCCCTATCCTGCTACTACTGAACCTCTTTCCTTCCTTTTGTGGTTACAATTCTCAAGCCTGTTATCCTTGCTGTCTCCCTATTCTCACCTCAAATAATTCCCAACCCACTCTAACTCTGGGTTTTGTGTGCTTAAGATATAATGACTAGGGCAGGGGTGTCAAACTCATTTTCACCAGGGGGTCACATCAGCCTCATGGTTGCCTTCAAAGGGCCGAAATAATTCTAGGACTGTATAAATGTAAGTACTCCTTAACTGTTAAGGAGTTGAAATTACATTCAGCCCTTTGAAGGCAACCATGAGGCTAAAGTGACCCCTGGTGAAAATGAGTTTGACACCCCTGGACTAGGGTGTCTAAACCCCATAATATCTTTATTCTTACCTTCCCTGACTGCTCAGTAGCTTACATGACACAATTGACCAGATTCTTTTTGAAACACTTCCTTATTTCTTGACATTCTACTCCTGGTTCTTTCTTTGATTGTCTAGTTGTTCTTCAGTTTTGTTAGCTGGTGTTTATTTCACTGCCTGTGTCCTCTCTACCAAAACTTAGTTGTTGAAATTCCTGTAACTACTGAGACATTTCGACTGAACAAAGTCTATTAATAATACAACTGATTAAAACTATACACTTTTAAGGCAGCTGAAGTTAACACAAGTGCAAAGAATATTAGTAACTGTTGTGTAATATATTTTTTAAAATCCTAGATTCTTGACTATATTTCAAATATACATCATTTTGGACACAGGATACAATTTCTGCCATTCTGGAAGGTCAGCCTATCAACCAATCACTTGATAAGAATTTCTGAAACTTATGTTTGTATCTTAAGAACCATATGAAAACATGGGTTCTCAGCTGGGAGAGATGACATAGGTTGGAGAAGTAGGACTACTTAAGACAAAGTCTAATGTAAGACTCTGCAAGAGTCTAATAAATTCTAAATTGTGAGGTTAGTAGTTTAAGAACTAATGGTGTGTATTACTCTTGGAGATGTTACCTTTTTTTCCCCTTTGCTTTTCTCCTAGCACCTTGTTCTTTGTTTACTCTGCATCTTCTAGCAGAATGAGCACCCTAAGTACAGGACTCTATCTAATTCATGTTTTTCTTATGGTTCTCAGCTGCTGGGGGTTGTCCACCTATTTATGAATTCTGGCCCTGTCAGTTAAATACAAGATTAACACACTGAGCCTTAGTTTCTGATCTATTACAAAGGAATGCTGATGGTAATAAAAATAATAATAGTTGTTTTTCAAATTCTGTGTCAAGGACATGCCAAATTATATTTTGGTAATAGCTACAGTAATTAGTAGCTTTGAAGTATGAACTTTGGTAAATAATTTTTTTAATCTCTTCTTGTAAATTTAGCTTAATGATGTGACCAGTTTGAAACATAACTATATGTGCTAAAGCAGTGGTTCTCAAAGTGTAGTTCTTGGACCCCAGCATCAACATCACCTGGAAACTTGTTGAAATGTGCATTCTCAGACCCCATCCCAGACCTACTGAATCAGAACCTCTGGGAGTGGAACTGGCAAACTGCTTTAACAAGCATGCCAGCACATTCTGATGGGCCAGAAGTTTGAGAACCCCTGAACTAGAGAACCTCAACTTTATACAGGATTGGACAAAAGTAGGCTTACAGTTGCAATACAAATAAATGATATACTAATTAATAATGCAAGAATCTCTTGTGTACGCCTGACTATTCCCGTACTCAAACCTACTTTTGCCCACCCTTATAGTGTGGTGGTTTTTTTATTGTAGGATCCCATGCTTAGTGTGTTTTATATAAATGAGAATTAAGTTATCATATTTTGCCATGTATAATGTGCACTTACGTTTTTGGCCCAAAGTTTCAGAGAAAAATCTGTAATTTTTAATTCAAGTATTTATTTATTTATTTATTTATGTTTAGAAACAAAACCAATTATCATATTCCAGGGTTTTGTTTTGCATACGGATATTGTTATTTCTAGAGTTACACTGTTAATGCATAAGCATAAATAAAAGAATTGAAAACATACAGAATTAGTACTACCCATGTATAATGCACACCCTTATTTCTCCCTCAAAAATTTGGGCAAAAAAGTGCGCATTAAACATGGCAAAATACAGTAATTTACTTTTTTAATGTTTGAAGATAAATAATACTCCTAATATTTGTTATTTTGGCCATTTTATATTTTAAATCTGAGTTGTATAAAATGTAGATATGGTCAAGTTGTATTTTAACACAAACATCTGCAGTTTGATAACTAATGGGTGATACCAATCTGAAGTACTTTTCAATATTTAAGCATTTAAGGAATTTTGAAAATCAATCTTTTTCTGAAATATTCAAAAAATAGTACATAGTCATCTGCAAATATTCAAGAACCATCAAAAATGCACAATAAGTCACCTGTAACTTATGTCATTTATGTATAATTATTTTTAATACCTTTGTAATATATCCTGTCAACCATTTTTTTAATTTAATTTTTTGGGAAAACAACACATTAAAGCCCATTTTTTCTATGCATGTATTGTTTAATAATATCTGTACATTATTGGTATGATACTATCCAATGCATTTATAAACTTTTTTTTTCACTTACCTGTATATTGAGCATATAGAAATGAATCTATTTCCCCAGTTTCAAGCTGCAAAGAATTACGTCATATGATTGTGCAAAAATTCATTCAACCCTTATCCCCCAATGGCTTTTTGTTATATATAAACAATGCCATGATGATCATTCTGCACATAATCTTTATATACCCCTTTATTTCTATGGGTATAAAGTTCTAGAAATATTAGTGATGCTACTAGATCAAAGACAATGTGCAGGGTTTTTAAAATTTTTTATTTATGTTTAGAGAGAGGGGAAGGGAGGGAGAAAGACAGAGAAACTGATGCAAGAAACATCAGTAGGTTGCCTCTCATAGATCCCCTGATGAGGTACTGAACCTGCAAGCCAGGCACTTGCCCTGACTAGAAATCAAATGTGTGACCCTTGGCTTTGTGGGACAACACCCAACCAACTAAGCCATATTAGTCAGGGCATGTGCAGTTTTATTTTTGATAACTACTAAACTGCTTTCCAAAAAGATTGTACCAGTTTATGTTTTCATAAGCCACACACAATGCCTGTCTGTCTCCACTTTAGTCAGCTAGATTTTATATTAATGGGCCTTTAGTGGGGGAAAATAGTTATTTGTTTTTTATTTATTTTGCTAACCCACTAGGTAACAAGCATCTTTTTTTTATTTTAATCATTGTTCAAGTACAGTTTTCTCCCTTTTACTCCCAATCCAGCCCACCCACCCAACCCTCCCCACCTCCCTCCCATAACCACCCTTCCCCTAGTTTTTGTCCATGTGTCCTTTAAATTTGTTCCTGTAAACCCTTCCCATTCTCCCCTGAAATTCCCTCTTCTCTCCCCTCTGGTCACTGTCAGTCTGTCCTCTATTTCAGTGTCTTTGGTTATATTTTGCTTGTTTCTTAGTTTTGTTGTTTAGGTTCCTATTAAAGGTGAGATCATATGGTATTTGTCTTTCACTGCCTGGCTTATTTTGCTTAACATAGTGCTTTCCAGCTCCATCCAAGCTGTTGCAAAGGGTAGGAGCTCCTTTCTTTCTGCTGCATAGAATTCCATTGTGTAAATGTACCATAGTTTTTTGATCCATTCATTTATTGATGGGCATCTAGGTTGCTTCCAGCACCTAGCTATTGTAAATTGTGCTGCTATGAACATCGGGGTGCAAAGGTTCTTTTGTATTGGTGTTTTAGTGTTCTTAGGATATAGTCCCAACAGTGGAATTGCTGGGTCGAAAGGCAGATCCATTTCCAGTTTTCTGAGGAAGTTCCATACTGCTTTCCATGGTGGTTATACCTGTCTGCAGTCCCACCAACAGTGCACTAGGGTCCCCTTTTCTCCACAGCCTCTCCAACACTTGTTGTTTGTTGCTTTGTTTATGATGGCCATTCTGTCTGGTGTGAAGTGGTATCTCATTGTGGTTTTAATTTGTATCACTCTGGTAGCTAGCGATATTGAACATTGTTTCATGGATTCTTCGTGTCTTTGGATTTTCTGTATGTCCTCCTTGGAGAAGTGTCTGTTCAAGTCCTTTGCCCATTTTTTAACTGGGTTGCTTGTCTTAGAGTGTAGTCGTGTGAGTTCTTTATATATTTTGGAGATTAACAAGCATCTTTTCATGTATGTATTAGTTATTTGTGTTTTTCTACAGTGAAATGTGTTGAAACATATTTTCCCACTTTTCTTGTGATAAAATACTGGTACACAATTTGAAGACCTCTGATGAGCCACAATGTCAAAATATCCTACGAAGTACAATAGTTATACTAGTTTTCACACCACGTCTTGGATCTGACATGATGGTTTTCATGAATCCCACCTTGCTAAATTGTGGAAATCCTATATGTCCCTATGAATAATCTTTGAAGGATTAAGCTATCAGTTTAAAATGATATTCAGGCCTTTCAAAGTTCAGCTCCCCTTTTTCTTTTAATTACTTTATTGTTCTTCAATTATAGTTGTCCGCATTTTCTCCCCACCACTTCCCGCACCCCAGCCAAACCCACATCCCTCCCTTGCTTCTACCTTCCCCCTTGGTTTTGTCCCTGTGTCCTTTATAGTAGTTCCTGAAAACCCTTCCCCTTTTGTCCCCTCCCCACTTCCCTCTGGCTATTGTTAGATTGTTCTTAATTTTGACATAACGTTGCTATATAAATACATTAACATTATGAGGAGATTGCTACACAAGGTGGCATTTGATTTTTCCTTAGAAAACTTTCTAAGATTGAGACTATTAGGGGAAAATAATGCTTTCTCCCCCACCCCCACCCCACCACAGAATGGCAACATGCTTGCTTAACACTGAATTCTGTGCAAGAAAGAAAAAATTTAATATATTCCTTGCCAACAAGTGGTGGAAAAACCCTCGTGGCTGAGATTTTAATGCTACAAGAACTGCTTTGCCGGCGGAAAGATGTTTTAATGATCCTACCATATGTGGCAATTGTCCAAGAAAAGGTGATTTTTTAAACAAGTAGTATTTGCTAATGCTATTAAGATATTTTGACATTAAGATATAAAAACTAGCATAAATGTAACTATTGACTAAAAAGAGGTGTTTCTATTAATGATGGAGAATTAATATTTTTAGAATGTGTTAAAAGCAGTATGGAGTACTTAACTGAAAATCTTTTCTGATCTGAACTGGTAGATTAGGCTCCATTATGAATGTTCTATTGATATTTAGCTTGCTTTCAATTATTTTATTAAAATGAGTTATGATTTTTTTTAAATCAGAAAAGACAGTTGAAATTTTTCTCATTAAGCAGTTTAACAGTTGTGTTCATTTTGCAAAGATTACATTAATTGTGACCTTTCTTTTTTTTAAATATGGAGTGCTTCACAGATTTGCATGTCATCCTTGCGCAGGGGCCATGCTAATCTTGTCTGCAGCATTCCAATTTTAATGTATGTGCTGCCTAAGCAAGCACTGATTGTGACATTTCTTAGATGCTTATGTCTTACCTGTGAACTTGTTCTTATTGATTGATATTAAGTACAATATTTTAGATTTTTTAAATCCCTGTGAGCATTTAATAATTAAAGTTCTTATTTATCTGTTTTGTTTGTTTATTTTAACTAATATTCTAGATTTCAGCTTTGTCAAGCTTTGGTATAGAACTGGGTTTCTTTGTTGAAGAATATGCCGGAAGCAAAGGAAAATTTCCTCCTATTAAAAGAAGGGAAAAGAAATCACTATACATTGCCACTATTGAAAAAGGACATGGTCTGATCAACTCCTTGATTGAAACTGGAAGGATTAACAGTCTGGGTCTGGTTGTTGTAGATGAGGTAGGTTTCTACTTTTGTAACTTAACATTTTTATTATACTAACAGTTAGTATTATGTGAATCTGCTTAGTACCTCTATTAGAATAATTTATTTTAATATATAGATGATACAGATGAAAACTTTTCATGTTTAATAATCTTAAATTCAATTTTGTGTCAAGTGTTTCTTGAAGAGTGAATCTGTAGTATGTGTGTATTCAAGTTTATAATAGCACATACTAATTCCGGAAGTGTCAAAATGTTGTTCCCAAACCCCAATAACTTAAAATATCAATGAAATAATGCATATATACTCTAGTTCTTATATCCAAAATGCTTAAGAGTTATAAAGTAAAGATTACTTTATTTCATACAAATACATGCATGCTTTATATAGGCATTATATGCAGATATACTTTTTTTCCTTTTTTAAAACATCTCAAGTTGCACATGATTGCTGAAGGAAGCCGTGGGGCTGTACTGGAAATGACTCTAGCAAAAATCATCTACACTAGCAGTAAGTATTTTTTTCAAATCTGGCCACTAATTGATTTATTATCAAGTAATATATAAAAGTCACCCTGTGGCTCAGTGGATTGATTGCCGGCCTAAGAACTAAAGGGTTGCCGGTTCGATTCCTAGTCAGGGCCCATGCTTTGGTTGTGGGACAGGTCCCCAGTAGGGGGTGCAAGACAGGCAACCACACATTGATGTTTCTCTCCCTTTCTCCCTTCTTCTCTCTAAAAATAAATAAATAAAATCTTTTAAAAAGCTCCATAGAAGTCTTATTTCTATCACCAGATAGATTTTGTAACCTAGAGTAAGATACTTAAGCCTTCTCGCTTAGATTTTGATTTTAAGGTAAGCTTATAAATTTTTGTTGGAAGAGTAGATGAATAAGGATAATTGTGAAGGTAAATTGAATTAACATTTGAAGGTGTTCTGGTCATTATCCTTCACTTACAAGCTACGTATGCTTATTGCAAGTGACTCAATCTCTCTGTTTCCTCATCTCTCAAGTGGGGGTAATAATGGTACTGACATAATGGGATTGTTGTGAAGATCATATGAGTTAGCACACATAAATCATTCGACAGTGCATGTAGCACTCAGTAAGAATTTGCTGCTGTCGCCACCATCAGTATCATCATCACATACTATACCAATAATTCAGTATAGTATATGCAAGTAGTCAGTTGCTATTCTGCAATATCTGATAGTCTTTAAATGTACATGAAATATTTATTCTAAATGTCTTCTCTACTATTTAATGATGTGAAGTACAAATAACTTAGCTTCTATATGAAAAATTAATAACTGTGAAGGTCAAATCTTTAGAATTATTTTTTAAAATTTAATAGCAATGCTATTTAGACATATACCAGCATTTTATAATCAGTCATTCAAAAAATATTTATTGAGTGTATGCCAGGCACTATTTTAAATGCTAGGGATACAGCAGTGAATAAAACAAGGTCCCTGTCTTCATCCAATGTATTTTAGTGAAAGGGAAACACAATGAGCAGATAATCAAAAAAACACATGATATGCTAAATGGTGACAAGTTCTATAGGAAAATACAAAGCAGAGAAAGAGGAGAATGATCACCTACTCATTAAATCTAATGACAATTGGCTGTCCTTTTCACAATTTTTCTTCAGCATTTGCCTGTTTATCTTTTTTTTTCCTTTGGATGCTGCCACATCAGTTTCTGTAGTTGTTCCCACTATTTATGTGTAAGAGAGATCATGTGTTAGCATGATAAAGTAGCATAGTATAATGTCTAAGGAGAGACTCAAGCACTAGATTCAAATTCTGGCTCACTTTTTTAAATTATATTTTATTGACTATGCTATTACAGTTGTCCCAGTTTTTTCCCCTTTACCCTCCATCACCCAGGGTCCCCCACTCCCTCAGGCAATCCCCACACCATTGTTTATGTCCATGCGTCATATGTATAGGTTCTTTGGTCACTACATTTCCTATACTGTACTTTACATCCCCAGGGCTATTCTGTAACTGCCTATTTGTACTTCTTAATCCCCTCACCTCCTCACTCATTCCCCTTTGCCCCCGTCCCACCTGGCAATCATCACAATGTTCTCTCTGTCCATGATTCTGTCTCTGTTCTTCTTCTTTGCCTAGTTTGTTTTTATAAATTCCATTGTTGATAGACATGTATTTATTGCCATTTTATTGTTTATACTTTTGGTCATCTTTCTCTTAAATGAGTCCTTTTATCATTTCATATAATAGTGGTTTAGTGATGATGAACTCCTTTAGTTTTCTCTTGTCTGGGAAGCTCTTTATCTGCCCTTTGTTCCAAATGATAGCTTTGCTGGGTTGCACAATCTTGGTTGTAGGTCCCTGCTTTTCATGACTTTGAATATTTCTTGCGAATCCATTCTAGCCTGCAAAGCTTCTTTTGAGAAATCAGCTGACAGTCTTATGGGAGCTGCCCTGTAGGAAACTAGCTGCTTTTCTCTTGTTGTTTTTGAGATTCTATTTCCTTACCTTTGGCATTTTAATTATGATGTGTCTTGCAGTGGGCCTCTTTCAACCCATGTTGTTTGGGACTGTCTGTGCTTCTTGGACTTGCATATCTATTTCCTTCACCAAATTAGAGAAGTTTTCTTTCATTATTTTTTCAAATAGATTTCCAATTTCTCCCTCTTTCTCTTCTTCCAGCAACCCTATAATGCAGATATTATAATGCTTGAAGTCATCCCACTGGCTGCTTACACTATCCTCATTTGGGTTTTTTTTTTTTTCTTCTTCTTGTTCTGATTAGTTGTTTTTTGCTTCCTTATATTCCAAATCATCGATTTGATTCTTGGCTTCATCCACTGTACTGTTGTTTCCCTGTAAATTGTTCTTTATTTCAATCAGTGTATCCTTCATTTCTGGCTGGATCTTTTTATGCTATTGAGGTCCTCACTAAGTTCCTTGAGCATCCTTATAACCAGTGTTTTGAACTCTGTATCTGATAGATTGCTTATCTCCATTTTCTTTAGCTCTTTACCTGGAGCTTTTATCTTTTTTTTTCTTTTTCCATTTGGTCCATATTTCTTTGTCTCTTCATTTTAGCAGCCTCTTGTGTTTGTTTCTTTGTATTAGGTAGAGCTGCTATGACTCCTTGTCTTGGTAATGTTCCCTTATGTAGTAAGTGTCCTGTAGGATCCAGCACCACAGCCTCCCCATTCCCCCAAGCCGAATACTCGAGGTGTGCCATTTTTGTGGGCTGAGTACACCTTCCTGTTGTCATTGAGCCTGGATTGCTGTTGGCAGGTCAATAAGAGGGATTTACCCATGCCAGTCAGCTACAAGGGCTAACTGTGACCACTGACCACCAACCTCCACCCTCCATGGAGAATCAGCTGTGCAAGGGCAGGTTGGTGGTACGCAGCTGTCTACTGGGTGTGCAGGCTCTGGAGTTTCCTAGGTTGTAGAAGCCAAGATCAGCCCCCTCTGTGTTCTGCCTGGGGCTGCCCTACTGAGCTATAAAGCAAGCTGAGATGGCTGCTACTTGTGCTGAGCTTAGAGATTCCTAGGCAAAGCCAAGCTGTGAATCTACGCTGGATGCTGGTAGTGGGAGGCCTGGAGCCACTTAGCAAGAGGTATGGGGGCCAGAGGGTCACTGAAAACAGCTGTTGCTTGTTTGAGAGGATTTAGGATGTTGTGAAGCATGAGCCAAGACCAGCCATTCACATAGAAAAATCACTGTTAACAGCTTGGGTGGGCCCCTAAGTATGGACTCTCAGGGGATCTCTGGCATGGGGCAAACACTGTTAGCCAGGTTGATAGAGTCTCAGATATGGCACCTGCCTTCCATCTCTGTGGCTCTGGGGGAGGGTTCAGAAAAGGGACAATGACCTCTCTGCCTTTCTGTCTGTGAGAAAGCTGTCCACCAGTTCTTGCCTTGATGCCAGACACTTCAGTCCCTCCTTGTATGTCAATGGTGCCTTTCAAGCTGCTACCCTGGCACTAGAACTCAGGGGGAGTGAGTCTGGGTAAGTCTATGTGTGTGTTCTTTAAGAGGAACTGCTTGGGACTCCACAGTTTCTTCCACTGACTCAATCCCTGTTGGCTTTTGCAGCCAGAAGTTGTGGGGACTTACCTCCTTTTACTAGAACCCTGGGCATGGGGGCTTGGTATGGGGCTGGGACTCCTCGCTCCCCAGATATGCCTTGCAGATTTTTATCCACCACACGTGCATGTGGGACCAGCCTGTTCGTGTCTCCATGCCTCCTACCAGTCAGGATGGATGTGGTTTATTTAATCCCGTAGTTGTCAGACTTCCATTCAGGTTGATTTCTAATGGTTCTCAGTGATGGTTGTTCTGTAGTTTAGTTGTAATTTTGATGTGGTTGTGCAAGGAGGCGAGCTGTGTTTACCTATGCTGCCATCTTGACCAGGAGTATCAAATTCTGGCCCACTTTTAACTATATATGTGACCTTGGGCAAGTCATAGTAACCATGCCTCTGTTTCCTTATGCTTCAAAAATGGGTGATAGTAATAGAATCTTCTCACAGAACTGCTGTAAAGATGGCATGAGTTAATCTTTGTAAATCATCTAGCATAGTACCTGTGCATAATGCACGTGTTTGCTATTGATATGTATTTGTCTTTCTATCACTAGTGCCTTAACTTACACTTAATAGATGTTTAAATGAAATTAATCTCTTTTGTTTTCTTTCTTGCTTTCCTTTGTGGCACATCATTCTAAGCATGTTCATTATGTACATTGGTGTTACCAAAGATTCATCTTAGGCTTTTTTACCCATTAGTCTATTTTACCATTTACAGTCTATCATAGCTTCCCTTTGTTTCTGCATAAATCCCAAGTTTCTTGGCATAGTCTTCCTTTCTTTCTCTTTTTTATCCTCACCTGAGGATATGTTTTTTGTTTTTTTTGTTTTGTTTTGTTTTGTTTTTAGAGAGGAGGGAGAGAGAAAGATAGCGAGAAACATCAATTGGTTACCTCCCCTACACAACCCTACTGGGGACTAAACCTGCAACCTAGGTATGTGCTCTGACTGGAAATTGAACCCTTTGTTATATGGGATGACACTCCAACCAACTAAGCAACGTGGCCAGGGCAGCATAGCCTTTCTTGATTTGGCAGCATGCTCACCACTTCAGTTTCATAGTCCATCCTTATGGTATAGGAAAGGACAACACATATTTTTCTTTCAAATAATACATTGCATGATAAAATTTAAGGCAAGACGCAGCAGCAATGAAGAAGCATTTGTTAAGAAGACTCCTGTGGTTTTTTAATTCAATAACTGGTCTAGGGAAAGCAGCAATTTTATAATGCCCAGGAAGTAAGTCATGTAGCTTCATGAATTTCACTCCACCTTTATTTTAAAATAAAGAAAAGTTAACCTGATAGTAGGGTCACAAAAGGACTTTCTGTGTGGCAAGAGTTTGGGACACATTGAGCCCTGCGACCTACACTGTACATCTGCATATACATAATACCCAAAACTGTGGAACCTGTCATAACTCTTCATAACGATGGTCCAGCATATTTACACTCATTGTTGTTGTTTAGAAGTCTTTTTTAAGATTTTATTTATTTATTTTTAGAGAGGGAAGGAAGGGAGAAAAAGAGAGAGAGAGAAACATCAATGTGTGGTTGCTCGGGGCCATGGCTTGCAACCCAGGCATGTGCCCTGACTGGGAATTGAACCTGCGATGCCTGTTTCACAGCCCATGCTCAATTCACTGAACTATGCCAGCAAGGGCCTGTTTAGAAGTCTTAATAAAGACCATACTTCTTGCCAAGCTTGATATTTTATAAAATTCTTGATAGTAACTTTTAGGAAATGAGAAAAGTTTTATTTTTTAATTGCCATATTAATACTCTGCTAACGTATTTGTATTTTTCTTACCTCCCTCCTCCCCTTTTCCAAATCACTCAGGAAAAATTTACAACACAGAAAGGTTGCTAAAATTACTATTATAATATACTAAATAACAAGTTTTTAAAATACTTTGGGTTTTTTTTAGAAACAACTCAAATTATTGGTATGAGTGCAACATTGAGCAATGTTGAAGACCTGCAAGAATTCCTTCAAGCAGAATATTACACCAGTCAGTTCAGACCAGTATGTACCTGAGGTTTGCACTGTGTTGATTTGCTATGTATCATCTTACTTAGAAACAAAAGTAGCAAATGTACCATATAAAAATATTCTATAGAATAGTGAAGGGCCATAATTTCATTCGCTATGGCTATATCCTAGTAAGAATTTATAGAGAATGTAAACTCTGTGGGGCCAGGGCTCTTGGCTTGGGTCACAACTCTAAGTGCAGCAGTTGGAACAGTGGCTGGCCTAATTAGTCAATAAATGAATATTTGTCGAATGAAATTTCAGGCCCATTCTATTTGTCCACTTCTTATTCTCTAAGGTAAAAGTTTTCATTCAGTTAAAATTTGGTGATTTATGTTTTGAATTACTAGCACATTAAAAAAGTTACCTTAAAATATTTATCCTTGGGAGTTATAATGCTTTTAAAATAAGTTTAGACTTCATATATATTTAAATTTAAACTCCCTAATGATAGTATTCCCAAAAAGCTTGAAAAAAATAAATAAACATCTGTAGTACTAATGTACATGCTGTGTCTCAGAATGGGTTTTTAGAAAATGATTTTTAGGAACCACCAAATTTTAATTTGAAAGTTGATGTTTTTACACTTGAGCCACATGTGAAAATTTAAGGGTATTTTATGACCTTAATTGTCTAATTAGATGCTATTCTTTTGAAAATGCAATGAGCCATATTTATAAACATTTTTGTCTATAAATATTTAAAAATAATATGGTGACAGGTGGGATGAAAACATGACTAATAAAATAGAAAGTTTTAGATCTTGAGGAATAACATGAATAACCCAATAAAAGATAAAGAGTATGAACATTTAACTCTTTTGTACTTATTGTGAAAAAGAAAATGTGTGGTTTCTGTTTAGATATGTAGCTCTTCAATTTAAAAAGATATTTTAAAGATACTAATCCCTATTTTTATTTAAGTGGAAAACGAAACTAAAAAAAGAAGAAATGGTAAAGAAAATACTTTTAAGTTAAAGCATCTTTTATATACCTTAGAAAAGCTAGAATTTTTCTATAGGTATACTTTTTTTATGACGCATTTTATGAAATTTGTAACTCTGGAAATAGGAATTTGTTGTGTTATTAATTGCAAATGTCCCTTTAATTCAAGGTTGAATTAAAAGAATATCTGAAAATAAATGATACAATATATAAGGTTGACAGTAAAGCTGAGGCTGGCATGACATTTTCACATCTCCTTAATTATAAGGTAATATTAATAACCCTTGAACTCTAGGTTCCCAGACATTGTGCCCAAGTCCCCTGGGGTACCACAGAAGATTTACATGGGTACCATGGAATATTTTAGATTTTTGAGAGAAACCTCTGATGCTTGAAATCTGTTGGGCAACATACAAACTACTGGTCCAAAGTAGTTACTTTTTTTCAACATCAGAGCACACTACATTCCTTTCTATTATATCATATCTTAGTGAAGTTGGGATTTTGTTTTGGGAATTTTGGATTTTTTTGCAGTTACTATAAGCAAAAACCATGTGAAAATCAATATGGGACCGGAAATGAGGGTAGCTACATTTAATCTAGTTTCAAGGTTCCAAAGATTGCAGTGTGCAATTGTGTACACATCCCATTAGTGGGCTGTTGTGGTTATTTAAGAATAATATAAACATTTTTCATTCAGCTGATGTATATTGTTTATGCAGACAGCTGCTAAGTTACAAGGAAATATATACTTACTAAGTTGTTTAGACCGAACTCTCCAATTAATAGAACTGTAAGATAATTCTTTTGGCCTTGGAGCTCCATAAACCAAGAAAATTTGGAAACCCCTCCCTTAAATGTTCATTCATTTATGTATAAGAGAAAAGAAACATTTATGGGCTATTTAATTCAGATATTGATGTATGAAAGTGTTAATACCTACTGTGTTAATGTTCTATGACATGATATTAATAAGGGGAGAAAGGGGTTTTACAACAGTTTTAGAATTGTACAAATTCTAATTCATAATTAGTTTTAGAAAGTCAAAGGAAGTGAGATTTTAAATAACTATTTTTCATGTTCTTTGAGTTTCTTATGTCTGCTTTATAAATATATTTTTATTTCTGAAAATGTCCTGTAGTATGATTGAATCTATGTTTTTTAAAACTAGTACTAATTATTAAAGGTGTATCTTTTTATGTAATCCTTTAACTATTATTAGGATCAATCTGTGTTTCTGTCTGTGGACTTTTTTGTACTGCTTTGATGAAGATAGGCATGTAGCGGAGTTATTAATAGTATTACTATTTTCACTTCTTTAATTAAAAACTAAATATACCTAACAAAATCCTAATAACCTAAGAGAAAAGTGAGACTTAACATTTTGGCATGTAATATAGATTTCATTTTTTCTTTTAAATGATCAGATTTACTATATCAGAAATTCAAATTTATGGATGATTTACTTACCTTTCAGAGCATACTGGTAAAACAACAGGCTTTTATGGTTGCTAACCTTGTTGCTACATCTTGTTATGCAGTATTCTGATACTCTGAAGAAGATGGATCCTGATCACTTGGTAGCGTTGGTGACAGAAGTTATTCCCAATTATTCCTGCTTAGTTTTTTGTCCCACTAAGAAGAACTGTGAAAACGTAGCAGAAATGATATGCAAATTTTTAAGCAAGTATGTTAATCTTTTAAAAATATTCTGTTCTGTTTTATATTTGTCATAATTTACATGCTCCATATTCTGTTTATTGAACAAGTACTAATTACTTCTTACAGAACATTATTTTAAGTTGTTGTACTAGATTCAAAAGGCCTTGACCTTGAAGAAAAGTTTAGCTGTGAAATTCACATGTGAAATAGAGAAAAATTCTAAGACTACATGTAAATGAATGCTAATACGAGTATAGTGGATTAGATCAATGATTCACAACCTTGGCTGCACTGTGAATCGGAGGCTTTTAAAAATACCCAAGTTGCATCCTAGACAAATCAGAATCTCTTGAGTATGGGACCCAGGCATCACTCTGTGAAGATCCCTAAGCAAGTACAATTTACAGCTAAGGTCAGCCACTGGCTTAGATGATCAAAGGACTAATTACTGAAATCACTATGGGGATAAATCATATCTTCAGCTTAATTTTCTCTTTCTTTTAAAAATATTTTGTTTAGTTTTTCTTAGAGAGAGGGGAAGGGAGAGAGAAAAAATAAAAGAAACATCCATGTACGAGAGACACATCAATTGGTTGCCTCTCACATGCCCCCTGCTAGGGACCCAGCCTGCAACCCAGGGGTGTGCCCTGACTGGGAATCGTACTAATGACCTTTTGGTTCATAGGCCAGCACTCCGTCCTCTGAACCACACCAGCCAGAGCATAGTTTGTAATTTTATGGTATTTTAATATCAGCTCTGTTATACTCAGAGATAAATATAGTGTGATTTTATTTTTATTTATTTATTTATTATTGTTGACACTATTACAGATGTCCCCCATTTCCTCCCTTTTGATCCCCTCCACCCAGCACCACCCCTCCCCCCTACCATCAATCACATTGTTGTCTGTATGTCCATGGGTTATGCATATGTGTTCTTTGACTAATATCTTCACTCCCTTTCACCTCCTCCCCTCTGAGATCTATCAGTCTGCTCCATGTATCCATACCTCTGTTTTTATTTTGTTTGCCAGTTTATTTTGTTCATTACATTTCACATACAAGTGAGATCATGTGGTATTTGTTTCACTCCGACTGGTTTATTTCACTTTGCATAATATTCTCCAGGTCAATCCATGCTGTCACAAAGGGTAAGAGTTCTTTTTTTTATATAGCCACATAGCATTTTATTGTGTATATGTACTACATCTTTTTTATTCACTCATCTACTGATGGGCACTTGGGCTGTTTCTAGACATTGGATATTATAAATAATGCTGCTAAGAACATAAGGGTGCATATATTCTTTCTGATTTGTGTTTCAAGATTCTATGTATATAATGTGATGTTAAATATGAACGGTTCAGTTTTTTGCACCTATTTCTCCCGTGCGTGATTTTAGCATTTTTTCAGACGACTTTTGGCCCCTTAGCCATTACTATATCACTATTCATAGACCTTTACTCTGGACTCTAATCTAGTCATCCTCTACCTCCTTTCCCAATCCTACCCTCATGGATTGCTCTAAAATCAAGTTAAATTTATTGAATAGCACAAAAAAAAGTTTCTCATTTTGTAACTGATCATGTGCCTTTACAATGATGATGTTAATTATAAAAGCCTGAGGAAATTAAATTATCATGAGGCAGTTTGCTCAATCTCAGTAAATTGCTCATTTTCTTAGAATAATCTGAGGTAGTATATAGTACTTGCTAAGTAACATAGAAATATAAAGACTAGCAATTAACTGGAAGACATGAAGTTTGTATGTTATACCTTTGAGTTATTTTGCCTTTTGATGATAACAGTTTATTTGGGTATTAAATGTTTATATTTAATATTGAATCATGTAAAAATTTACCTCTCCAGAATCTTTAGTTAATGAATTGTAAAGGATACTTGATACTTTCTTATAGGAGTAAACACTTTCCTTCCAAAGGAAAATTTCCTCTATGCTATATTTTTTATATTATTTGCTGCTTTTGTAAGCTGAGTGCTTTGAGTATAGTTTAGTCCCTTTTTGGTGGCTGTTGACTAAAATGTCATCATATTGAAAGAATACTTTTTTATATTATTCTGTAGTTTAGATGTAGACGAAATGAAATCTAAACGGATTCTCATCTCATTACTGGCTTTAAAACATGACATCTTGAAACTCCTGTGTGTATCTTAATTATTTGCCTCCTTATCATAAATTTTGTGGGAAGCAGGTACAGTAAACCCCTTTCCCATCCGGGCAGTAGAATATGGCTGTTTATCTATTTAACTGCAAAGACTGAAGCAGGTTATTCCCAGTGATTGTCTCAGTCTCTAGGAATATTAACTTATTTGTAGCTGTTACTCCCTTTGATTTTTAGTCAAGAATGTCTTGTCCTGGTCAGTGTGGTTCAGTTGGTTGGGCTTCGTCCTGCAAAATAAGAGGTCACTCGTTTGATTCCCAGTCAGGGCACATGCCTGAGTTCCGGGTTCCATCCTGGTCAGGCATTTAATTAAGAGAGGCAATGGATTGATGTTTCTCTCTCACATCAGTGTTTCTTTCCCTCTCTTCCTCTTTTCCTTCCCCTCTCTCTAAAAATAAATAATACCCTTTTTAAAAAAGTCTTATTTTTAATTTTTTTTTATTTTTCAATTACTATTGATATACAATATTATACTAGTTTCAGATTTACAGCCCAGTGATTAGACATTTATATAACTTGTGAAGTGATCATTTCAGTAAAACTAGTGCCCATAAGACACTATATATAGTTATTATAATATTATTGACTATATTCCTTATGCTATACTTCACATCCCCATTACTATTTTATACTTACCAATTTGTACTTCTTAATCCCTTTACCTCTTTCACACAGACTCCCCTCCCATCTGGCAACCATCAAAATGTTCTTTGTTTCTGGTCTGCTTGTTCATTTATTTTGTTTTTTAGATTCCACATATAACTGAAATCTAAAGAATGTCTTTTAAACACTATTTTCTGACAACTTCCACAGCTCTGGTAATATTACTTTCCCTAAAACAAAATCTCCCTAAAAATGATTCTTCAGTGCTTCTTAGCTTAGAATTCATACCAAGATCTAACTCAACTTACTTTTCCATCCTATTTCTTCTACTCTTCATTCACCCTGCAATTCATCCAAACTAAACTACTTCTCTTCTTTGTTTATGCCTCAGACTTCCCATTTTCAAGCCTTAGATCATGTTTTACCCTCTGCCAAGAATGCACTTTCCTGACCCTTCATTGCCACCTTTCTAATACTTGTTCTTCAAGACCCAGCTCAGATCTCAGTTTCTCCCACAACCCTTCTTTGATACAACCATATCTTACCTGGTCAGTTAGGACAATCCCTTCTCTGATTGGGAAAATTATACATGGATTATCTATATTTTCACTACTTATAACACTTAATTCCCTGAGAAGCATTCATTCTATACATCCCTTTCAGGACCTTGTACACTGGCTAGAAAATAGCAACAGAAAGTCTTTTCTCCCCTAATAAGCTGTTCCTCCCAATTCTTACTCTCCCCTAATAAGCTGTTCCTCCCAATTCTAAGATTCTTGACCACTTTCTTCCCAATTCTTTATTGTTCTTCTTTTGTCTCTTTGCCTCCCATTTCTCAGCTTCTTTTGAAATTACTGGCATTCCTCAGTGAACACCAGCCAGAGCTCTATTCCTTCCATAAAGAAGACCAAAACAACAGGGCTATGTGTATTATATTTATATCTTGGATGATATGTGTTTGCTTCTGGTATTTAGAAGTTGTTGCTTTACAGTCAGTTGGTAGTTAGTTCTACATAGTCTACTTTCTCTCTTTTCTTAATTGAATTTAAAGTAACAGGTGTTTCTAGATTCAGAGACATTATAGGATATTACTGAGTTTTCTAAAACACTCGTGTCCAGACAGTCAGTATTTTACATATACTACTAATGATTTAATAATGTATTTCCATCTTAAGAAAATTTACGATTAAAACAAAATAAATCATCTTCAATAAAGGTATATGATCTAGTGAGAAAAATAATCATAACATCTGGAACAGTGGTATAAACCTGGTGTCCATGGATTCATAGGAAGTACAGGAATGAACTTCAGAAAGTCCATGAACTCTGTAATTAAATGCAAAGTGTTGTGTTTATATGAGTTTTTTTTCCTTTAGCTTTAATCAAATTTTCACAGCACTCTATTATCTACCAAAAAAGCGGTTGATAGAGACTGCCTACCAGTGAAATCAGGATCAAAATTCTAAGAACATTTTATATACTTATATGAATAAAATTAATCTTTTTTAAAAAGAGTATTTACATGAACCTACTAAAATTAAAGTTATAGGCACTCTGTCATTGTAATAGATCAGTGTTCATATTTTTAACAGATCTTTTTTCCTAGGGAATATCTGAAACACAGGGAAAAAGAAAAACAAGAGATGATTAAGAACTTGAAGAATATCAGCAATGGCAACCTGTGCCCTGTTTTAAAGCGCACTATCCCATTAGGAGTTGCTTATCACCATAGTGGTTTAACGAGTGATGAAAGGAAGCTCTTGGAAGAGGCCTATTCCACCGGAGTTCTCTGTCTTTTAACCTGCACATCCACCCTAGCAGCAGGTGTTAACCTACCAGCTCGAAGGTGAGATAAAAGTAGCTGTTGTCCAGGTTCAAAACTTTTCAGTTCCTATGTCCCAGGGGTTTTGTTGTTGTTTTATTCTTTCGTGGTAGTGGGTGAGAATTTTTTTTCCAGTTTTTGCTGAGTTGAACATTTGGTTTATTTTCTTTAATATATTAATGAAAGATAGTATCAGTAGCTTTCCTGGTATTATGATATTAGTAGCTTTCCTGCTATTAAAATTCCTTCTTTCTTTTGTGCTCTCCCTATCTGGTGTTGATGTCAAGGTTTATTATCCTGCTTCAGTAGAAACAGTTGGAAAGCTTTCCACCATTTTTATCATCTGAAAGAGTTTATTTCCAATAGAGATTTCCTTGAAATCTTAGAGAATTCATCCATAAAGACTTTCAAATCTAGTATTTTTTTAGAGTAGATCCTAGATTACCTTTTCAGTTATTACCAAAGCTGTGTCCTACATATTTGATTTCTGTTCTTTGTAATTTGTGACTTTAAAATATGTGACATTTGTTAGAATAAATAAATGGTCAATTTTTATAAATCATTCATGAGTGTTAAAAAATATGTATTTTCTGTTGGATGTGCAGTTTTCTATATCTCAGTGAGATCACAGTTATTAATCATATTGTCAGTTCCTCTATTTTTTTACTATTTATAATTCTTTAATCTGTAAATTTCAGAGAAGTGTGTTAGTCTCCCACTTTAATTATGGAATTGCCTATTTCTCTTTGCATTTCTGAAAGTGTTTGCTTTGTATTTTAAAATTATTTAGGTATAAAAAGGTTTACTCCAAATATGTTACTGCTGAATTGTACCTTCTATCAATATAATAGGTCCTTGCAGGTTAACAGATCTTGCAACAAATATATTGACTCCTTGGTTTTCTAAGTTAGTGATTTTACTCTAAATACTAGAAATATATATTTTTTGCCAAGTAGATCCTTTTCCATTCTTTTATTTTCAAGCTGTTACTGATTTAGTTTTTGAAAAACAAAGGAAGTTATATATCCTACTTATGTTATTCCAACTGTTAAAATTTTAACAGTTGTAATCAAACTTGTTTTTCTGTCATTATAGAATTAATAATTATATCCTTCCTTGAACATGTGTCTTACCATTTGTATATCCTTTTACAATACTCTGCCTCATGCATGTATGTTGCAATTAACTAAAATTTTAATTTCAGATTTTTTATTTTATTTCATTTTGTAATCAGTAACTATTTAAACCTACCTATATATTATACTTATTTGTTTGTTTGCTCCTTTTTGATTATCATTCTCCTCTTGTATCCCACATCTTCCTTCTGTGATTCATTTTTTCTTTGCCTCCTTAAGTAATTATTGTTTAAGTGCTGTACCACAGAATAGCTGAAGTCTTTGCTTAAGTGCTGAGCCTTTGCATAGCTGAAGATGTCTTTATTTTAGCCTCATACTTTAACACCTTGCTAGAATTTCAGGTTCCATATTTTTTCCATGGAGACTTTGATATACTGTTTTTAGTCTTTCAGAGCCAGCATTGTTCATTTTTGTTTTTTGTGTGGGTTTGCTGTTTTTCCCTTTCCAGAAGCTTTTAGACTTTTCTCTTTAACTTTAAAATTTCATCATACTGTATAATAATAATTGCAGCTATTACACTCCCTTTCCTATGTCATAATAGCTTTAAATATATTGACTTAATTGATCCTCATGACAACTCTGTGAGGAAGGTCATATTTTATAATATTAGCTACAGTTTATAGAAGGGAAAACTAAGGTGCTAAACAATTAAATAATTTGCGCAACTTCATGCCCAACAAAAACAAGTTTCAAAGCCAGTGTTTGAACCCAGGAAACTAAATCTACAATCCCAGCTGTCCTCTTTTAGCTACTTTTCATTTATAGAGCTTAGCACTTGGGTGTATGCTTTCAATTCCAAGTTTTATGCCTTTCATCAACTAATAGTAATTTTTTGGTTATTTTAACATGTTTCCTTTCATTGTTTCTGTTCTCTGCTTTTGTAACTGCATTTTGTCAGGGTTGGAACTTTGTAGATTGAGCTTTCAATCTCTTTTCATCTCATTTTCCAATCTATTTGAGCAATGTAATTTCTTTAACTTTACCTTCTATGAGGCCTGTCCAGAAAGTATCAAGCCACTTACTATGAAAAATAGAGGCATTTACTGAAGAAGATACAAGATCAAATAAACATTGTACATAGGGCAATGACACCTCAGTCCCGTTCAAAGTAGGCACTTTGGAACTTCAACCCAGTTCTCCCAGTCACCATCAGTTGCTCCATCATTTTTTCCTGAATCTCATTGATGATCTGAAATTTCTTTCCTTTCTTTCTTCTTTTTTTTTTTTAGATTTTACTTATTTATTTTTACAGAGAAGAAGGAAGAGAAGCAGAGAAACATCAATGTGTGGTTGCCTCTTGCATGCCCCCATACTGGCGACCTGGCCCGCATACCAGTCATGTGCCCTGACTGGGAATCAAACCAATGACCCTTTGGTTTGCAGGCCAGCACTCAATCCACTAAGCCACACCAGTCAGGGCAAATCTCTTCCTTTTCAAAGGTGATTTTAGTTTGGGGAAAAGCCACAAGTTGCAGGGCACCAAATCTGGGCTGTAGGAGGGCTGAGTCACCTGGGTGATTGGATGTCTCACCTAAAACCTCTGTATGAGACATGATGCATGAGCCAGCGTGTTGTCGTGCCACCAGTTGCCCATAACTCAGCCTTCTGAATCATCTGATAGTTTCCACAAAGGAATGTTAAAGCTTTACACAAAAGTTGATGCAGATTTATTGCTCTACTTACTCAGTCATTTTGAATGCGACTGCCACACAGTACATACGATCACTCAATGGTTTGTACCACCCCCACTGACAGTACAGTGAAGTAGTCATTGTTCACATGTGTGCATTCCAGTCCACTCTCCTTGTCTGCCAGGTTACATCAGTGTTGTGCAAACCATTATTATTTTATCAGTCATTGGACTTTTTCCAGGCAGACCTCATGTATAACAAAATTAGTTTTTAACTGCATCCTATTAGCTATATTCATTCCATTATTCAGTTCTTCTATTGAATTTTTAAAATAAATTTAAAATTTTTCTTAACTTCCAAGAACTATCTTTTTTTATTGCTCTTTTTAAATTAAAAAAAAAAAAATTGGAATACAATGCCCTCTAGGATTTTCTGTGGATGTTTATTAGAATTTTTGTTTTCTGTTCTTTATATTCTAATGGGGTTTTTTTTTGTTATGCCATTAGTTTACTTCAAATGTTTGGTAATCTTTGTTGTCCACTGAGGTTTATAAATAAAGGAGTTGGTTGATTAGTACAGGTAAATATCATATTTTTCTCTCACCTTTGAACAGGAAAGCTGATTACAGACTTCTTCTATATACATGAACAGGATGAAATCACCCTGTTTGTACCTCAAAAACAGTTGAAATCTATAATTTTATATAGTTAATAGTAATATAAATTCATAAATATGCATATGTCGGTGGCACATGGTGAGAGTTTTCATTTATGGAGTATAAAATAAATCTTTGAAGATTATTGCTCTACTGGATTGGTCATAAGCTTTACAGTGAGACTAACTTAAGTTCAAATCATGTTTCTGGTAATTACTAATTTTGTGAGTTGAGATAAGCCAATTAGCCACTTAAAAAAAAACAAAACAGAATATTATTACAAAGAGTTGTAAGAATTACAGATAATGTAGATAAAGAACTTCTATGACATCATAGATTTTTGGTAAATATAGTTATCTATTTTAAGTTAATGTGCCATTAAATTTAATATCACATAGATATTAAAATTTAATTTAATATCACATAGATATAATGAAGTTAGGAGCTTAAAAATAGGTGCTATTGCTATAGATGAAGACTCACTTTTAATTAATTTTATCTATTCCATAGAGTTATTTTGAGAGCCCCCTATGTTGCTAAAGAATTTTTAAAGAGAAATCAGTATAAACAGATGATTGGCAGAGCTGGCCGTGCTGGAATAGATTCTGTTGGGGAGAGTATCCTTATATTGCAAGAAAAAGATAAACAACAGGTAATGATCTGTTTGTTGGTGGGTTGTTTTGTCTTTTTTGGCCTTTGGCCCAGACCTTTTAGGGGATCCTCTTTTAAAAATTATTTTTAATATTGCCTTGACTATTGTGGCTTAGTGGATTGAGTGCCAGCCTGAGAACCAAAGGGTCACTGGTTTGATTTCCAGTCAGGGCACATGCCTGGGTTGTGGGCCAGGTCCACTGTAGGGGGTGTGTGAGAGGCAACCACACATTGATGTTTCTCTTCCTCTGTTTCTCCCTCCCTTCCCTCTCTAAAATTAAATAAATTAAATGTTTTTAAATAATTAATTTTACATATTTTTTAAAATAAAATATGTAAAAGAATTGATTAAGAATTAGAGCGCTAGCTGGTGTGGCTCAGTTGGTTGGAGTGTCATCCCATAACTAAAAGGTCACCAGTTCAATTCCTGGTTGGGGCACATACTTAGGTTGCAGGTTCAATCCCTGGCCAGGTCCATGGTTGCCTCCTGCTATGTTTCTCTCTCTCTCCCTCCCCTCTCAAATGAGAATAAAATAAACCTTAAAAAAGAATTAGAAAGAGTAATTTGAATATTTTTGTATTTCAGATAAATAATGAAAAGTATTTTTCTATTTATCTTCTATTTTCATGAGCACAGCTGCTAAATTCCTTTTTTGGTATTTCTGTTTTTTACGTTCCCCTGCCTCCACAAGATATACACAAAATATAAAATTTTATACAAAATGCCATTTATTTTTTATAATAACAGAAAACATAATACTGTTTTAATTTTTGTAGGTATTGGAGTTAATAAGCAGACCACTGGAAAATTGTTATAGCCATCTTGTTCAAGAATTCACCAAGGGAATCCAAACTTTGTTTCTCTCATTGATTGGTTTGAAGGTATTTTTTAATATTTTAAAATCTTATTGCTGTTATCTTAGATAGTAGAGCTTAAATAGTTACAAAAACTATAATGTATGAAAAAATATTGACTTTAATCCGATGTGGAAAAGAACAGTCTGTGACATGATAAATCTGATTCTGAATTTATACGTGCATTTTTAATCTTTAAGTTGTAAGAAATATGAGAAATCAACAAATCATAATTGGGCATCCATTACATGTAAGAGACTTTGGTGGATACTGTGGATACACAGTTGCTGTAAAGACATGGGTCCTGAGGTGTCTCTGTCCTCATTAAGAGTAAGTTTCATCTATAGTCCTGTGACCATTCTAGGGTATTTTAAACATCTCTAAGATAAGTATAGCCTTTAGCAGCAGAAAACTTAAAAAAAAAATTTTTAAAAGGCCTGACAGGAAAATACTCTTTTCCTAATATTAGACATTAGCTTTCTTTTTAAGACTTACTCTTGAGTTAAACATCTTTTTTAGGATTATTCCTAAGCAAAGTAAATTTTAACTTTGTGCCCAGTGTCACTCTGCCACAAAGTGACAAAGCCAAAGTTTGAATTACCTCTGTCTAAATACAAAACCAGTGCTCTTAACCTTTCATGCTGTCTACCTTCACCCATAGCTTTGTCTACTTAACTCCCACCCACCTTCAGATATTTATTTAACCATTGCTTCCTCAGGGAAGCCTCCCTGTGCCTCTGATCTACTTAGCCTATTGTATACTTTATAGAACCATAGACTGTACTCCACTGTAATGTAAGCCCTGTGAAGCCCGGTAATGTAAGCCCAGGGTCCAGCTTTATTTCATTTATCATCAATCTCAGTGTGGTGCATGTGGGTGGCACTCTTGAATTAATTAATGGGTTGACTTTGGAGTTGGGCATGTGTGAACTTGTAGGTTGGGGCAACAGTGAAGAATCCAGCTTTAAGAAGCTGTGGAGGCCAGAGGCAGAGGCTAACCCAGTAGGTTTAAATCACTATGTCTAAAAGTTTTTCAGAGAGGAGTAGAAAGTAAACATGATGGTAGCTGGAATGAGCAAGTAAACATTTTTCTTTAACCCCAAGTGTTAACTGTAATTAACCAAGTACATTGATAATCTATAAACTGAGTATTAGTTCTTGAATATCTTAGAAGTATAATTTTAACCTAATCGAATAGTATATTAAGAATAATTTTTATTAAAAGGAGAAGCCATCAGAAATGTCTGTGCTTCATAATATTTTTATTATACTTTATATTGGTTTAATTAAAAAATGACTACTTAAGTTTTCCAGTTGAAATATTATCAGAATTATGAGAGAGAAGTATGGCTATTGATTGGCTATATTTTAGCATAGCATGCTGATTTCAGTGAAATTGCCTAATATAAAATTATTCTAATTCATTGTTAACTCTACATCTAACTATCATATGGAGAGTTAAGTATTATTATTGATGATTGCCATTAAAAAGTTTAAATGGTGAGTAACAGGAGAGAGTGAAGGGCAGGAAAAGGAGATAGAAGTGAGTCCAAAAATAGGTAGAAAACTGCTACTTAAGTTTAGGTAATATATCAGAGAAAGTATTGTCTGAACCTGTTTCAGTGGAGACTTTCACGTGTGTTTTCCATGTGTTTCTTTATTTCTTGTTAAACGTAGTTTTTAGAGTGCTTTCACAGTTTGGAAAGGCGTGAAAGGAGGGTTTTTGAAGGAGGCAGTGATGGAATTAGTGATAATTGGTTGAGGAGTAAAGAGCACAGCTTTGGAGATATTGTGAAAAATTATTCAAAAATGTAAGGAATTTTTACATGAAAAATATGTGATGTTTTCATAAAAATATAAATATGATAACTGTTTTCTCCTTTAAAATGTTTTTCTTGTTAATTTTACATGTTATTATAAAATTACCTTTTATGTGCAACTATGTAGATTTTTGACTAATTTTTTAATTTAAATACCTTTGAGGTATGGAAATGAATTATCTGAATTAATGTACAATCGAAATGATGTCTTAAATTAAGGAAAATACTTCAATGATGCCCTGTATTGTTTCAGATTGCAACAAATCTTGGTGACATATATCACTTTATGAGTGGTACATTTTTTGGTGTCCAGCAAAAGTTTTTGTTGAAAGAAAAAAGTCTCTGGGAAATAACTGTTGAATCACTTAGATACCTGACAGAAAAAGGACTCCTACAAAAAAACACCATTTTTACAGAAAAAGGACATACACAAAAAGATGCTATTTATAAGCCTGAAGAATGGTTCCAGTTTAGTTTTCATATTACAAAGTTGGGACAAGCTTCTTTTAAAGGTAATAGTTTACCTAAATTTTATTTTACCTCAAATAAAATTTTAGAAAACCTTAGTTTACCTAAATCTGAGGAAATTCATTGGAAAAAAATAGAAGTTAAGTTATTCTGAACTTTAAATTGGATTTGTAACTTCATATTAATAATATTAATCTTACAAACTGTTACACTACTTCAACTTTAAAAAGTTAAAAATGTTTTTAATTACAAGTAATTTCAAATACTGCAGAAGTAGCCCTGGCTGGTGTGGTTCAGTGGACTGAGTGCCAGCCTGCAAACTGGAAGGTCATCAGTTCTGCTCCTGGTCAGGGCACATGCCTGGGTTGTGGGCCAGGTCCCTGGTCAGGAGCATGAGAGAGGCAGCCGATCATTGTTTCTCTCCCTCTCTGTCTCCCTCCCTTCTCCTCTCTCTTTCCCTTCCTTCCCCTCTGTCTGAAAAATAGACACAATCTTTTTTTTTTTTAAAAGAGCACTGCAGAAGTATATACAGAAAAAGATGTTCATCCCTTGTTCACACTCTCCTTCCCCAGGGATCACACAAGTCTTAATATCCTACCAAGAATAACAATTTGGTGTATGTCTTTTCAGGTGGTTTCTGTATACTTCATTTTAAAACCTAATTCATAGATATATACAGGTATAAGATTTTTTTAAGCCCTGGCTGGCATAGCTCAGTGGATTGAGCACGGGCTGGGAACCAAAGTGTCCCAGGTTCGATTCCCAGCCAGGGTACATTCCTGGGTTGCAGGCCAGAACCCCCAGCAACCGCACATTGATCTCTCTCTCTCTCTTTCCCTCTCTCTCTCTCTCTCATCTCCCTCCCTTCCCTCTCTAAAAATAAATAAAATTAAAAAAAAAAAAGATTTTTTTAAAGCTCTGTTTTTGAATAAACAGTCATTTATATTATTCTGAAACAATATAGATTGTTTTTTTGTTTAATATATTATCTTAGAGATTGTTGTGTGATAGCAAATAGTTTCTTCTTAATGACAACTTCATAATTTACTTAATGAAAAATACCACATGTCTGTTATTAAAAAAATCCTTAGTACTCAGAATTATGTAAAGGAAAATCCCGTACTTCTGTCCCATTTCCACTTACTCAGTAGCTACCACAGTTAACAATTAGAGATTATATATATACACACACACACACACATCCTTGCAAATATTTTTATGTGTATATAAGCACAGTTTATTTTTAATCAAATTGTAGTGTATGTTTTAGCAGCTTGCTTTTCTTACTTATAAAGTATCGTGAACACCTTAACATGTTAATGTCTTTAAATCTACCTCATTTTCTTTTACTATAGCTGTCCATAGTATGGAGGCCATAATTTGTTTAACCATTCCCCTGTTGATGATGCACTATTTGTGAGTTTTTAAAATGATAAACAAGTTTGCATGACCATCTCTATTATATATTTTGGGTATATGTGGAAATGTTTCTCTAGGTTAGATTGCCAAAAATAGAGTACAGTAATTGGATCAGAATGTATGTACTTAGTATATGTTGATGTATTCTATCAAAATGACCTCCAAAATAGCTGTGCTAAATTACATAATAAGAGATTTTGAATACTGTTTACTATATTTAGATAACTTCTAAACAAGACTTTCTTTAAAAGTCACCTCTTTTCCCCTTTGGTAATTATGAAAGGTAAAATACTGTGTTACTGGGGAGACCCAAGTTGGGGGACTCTCCCACTCCTCAATTCTTGCCTTGCTCTCAAGAGAAGAATTCAAGCAAGAGGCAACACATATAGTGGAAATAAGATGGCAAGTTTATTTATGAAATACACTTAAGCACAAAGCTGCAAGTGGGCACCCAGCTAGTCTGAGAGCCCCAACTGTTGGGGTTTAGGATTTTTATGATTGTGGACAACTTCTAGGTTCCCTTTCCTCCTGCCCTTCCAGACCTTGGTATTAATACATGGTTCCAAAGACTTTCTTTCCCAGCTAGTGGAAAAGGTACATAGAGAATTTCAAGGGCTCCCTTGCTCCTACACTACCATAGTTTTTCTTGTGATGTTTGGAACACCTGGCAATCTCATCTGACCAGACTCAGGACTGCTAAATTAATAAGTGAGGTATGTCTTCCTCCCACTCCCTGCCTTGGTTTACTATCTACCTTGTCTAATACTTATATCTTTTAGGAACTATAGATTTGGCTTATTGTGACATTTTATACAGAGATTTGAAGAAAGGTCTTGAAGGCCTTGTACTTGAAAGCCTTCTTCATCTAGTTTACCTAACCACTCCCTATGATATGGCTTCTCAGTGTGACCCTGATTGGATGATATTTTTCAGACAGGTGAGCATATGAGGTTCTTCAGTGCAGGCTACTTAGTCTGTTAATGATGAAACGACTTTTGTCAAGTGATTATTCACTTTTCTATTAAAATATATTTGAAATTGGGTCTTTAGTTCTTTCAGTTTTTAAGATAGTAATATGGCAATAGCATTTTTGGTTTGTTCAACTTAAATATTACTTTTCTGTTAAATATAAACATGTCATTATCAAAAATAAATAAATAAAGGTACAGAAAAGAAAACAGGATCATTCCTGCTTCCATTTACTAAAGATAGTTACCATTCTGGTTTGCTGACCACTGCATTTTATAATGTCTATAATCTAAACAAAACCACGAAGGCCATCTCTGTTGATTGAGAGTTTAATTACATGAAAGCTCCGTCAGAGCCAAGAATGATAATATACCAAACCTAGTAATATTAGTAACTGAGACGGAATGTCAGTTTTATCACAAGATAGAACTGGTCCTATTTATTACAAAAGCAAGTAGTAGAGTACAGCCTATTATGATTTTACTGTAAATAGATGCATGAACACATATTAGGCAGAAGTAGTATGCAGCTTTTATTTGTAAGAAACTAGCTTTATTTTTAATGTCATGTTTTAAAATTATTCCTGTAGTTATATAATGCAGTTACTTTCAAAAGCTTTCCCCCTTCCCCCACCAACGTCTTCCAATATTACAAAGGACTTGTGACTGTGACTTGAAGTAATTCTACTAAAGTATGTTATATTTTAATAATATTTTTAAGTTTACCCTATTTGTAAAAAAATTGCTTTATTTTTATCTTTAAAAATATGAACATGTGATATAGGAAATACTGGATTTGGTTCAAATGGTATTTTTTAAACTTACAATTTGATTTTTCTGTATAATTGCTCTTTTTCTGTGTAGTTTAACCAACTCAGTCCAGCAGAACAAAATGTGGCTGCTCTTATTGGAGTCTCTGAAAACTATATTGGGAAGAAGGCATCAGGTCAAGCTATCAAGAAGGTACCATAGTCTTTTTTTTCTTCCTTAATAACTTAAGTTGATTTAACAAAATTAAGGTTATAGTATTATTTTCTTTCTCGACTTGATGTATTTGTTTCACATTTTTTTCTTTAAATTAATATAATTCCTATTTTACTATTTAGAACATCTGAGGACCAGAAATTTAGACATTTTTAAAAAACTATTTCTGGGCAGTGTGATGGCCTTTTTTTATATCTTTGTATTCTGAAATATTCTGTCATGTACATGTAAGGCTTTTATCATAGGGAAATGTAAACTTTATCAATATGTTTTTTCCTGGGCTACTTACTACACAGCATAAAAATTACAAATAATATTTATAAAATGTTTTCATGATATTAAATAATCCTGAAATAAATTTAGTTAAAGGGGGAAAATATTATTTTCTAGAAACTTTTTATTAGGCATTTTACTTGATGTCAGAGATTCTAAGATAGGACAGGTTTGGGGTTTTTATTGTTGGTGATGTTGGTTGTCCTCAAAGAACTTCCAATCTAGTATTCGACCTAAACATTTGGGAAGGTTGAAGCAGATAAACTAATACTCTTTTGTTTGATATTTTATACTTTAGGGTTTTAAAGTTCAGTCAACAAGCATGAAGCAAGCGTCTAATGCATACAATAAGAGAAGTGGAAGTAATTATTTGGCTAACATGCTTTCAAATTCCTTAAGTTAATATCATTTTTTACCTCATATACATTTTTTCACTTTTCTTTGATACTCTAGTCTTCACTGAAACCTAGTTATCTTCCTCTTATTTCCCCCTACATCTTTTCAATTTACATAAATATTACTGATTTCATTTTGAAAAATGGAAGATGGTGTTTACTTTCATTTGAATTGAATGGTGCAACTGTCCCATGTATTGCTGTATCATAAAATTATAAATACATATTAGAAATATATAGTACTTCAGTGTTCATGTCACAATATTTAGACTGAGTCTTTTACCTTAGAAATGGCTATATTGTTTAGACTCTCAAAATGTTGAATAAAAATATTTGTTAAACTTTTTATAACTAAGTCTATAATATAAAATAAACACAAAACTATATTTTAAAATCATGTTAATATGAAACTTACTGCCAAATAATAAACATTTACAAAATTCTATTAAAATAATACATCTTTTAAAACTCGCATCAGAATGTATTTTTGTTATATTTTATAAAATATAGTCAACTGTTTATTCAATTGATAATTATATATTTAAAATAGTATGGGCATGAATTTTTCTTAATTACAAATGTATTAATTACTAGTTTAATGTTTGAAAATACCTTATTTGTAATTCTAGAGCACATGATATTTACCTAAAATCTAAATTGATTTCTCCACATTAAAGAGGACACCCACACCCTCTTTTCTTTAAACATTTCTTGTAAAAGATCTTGAAACTGGCATAAAGCATTTTATCTTGCCTTGTAATATAATTTTATCATTTTTCTTGACTTAGAGAATGCTTTTTGAGCAAAATCTACAATGACTCAAGTTATGGTTAATAACAGGTACACTACAATTGGGAAATTAAAAAGCAATCTTTTTCTACTTTTTGTTGAACTATCATGTTTTTTAGCTTAATGTTTTTTAATAAATGGTTGATTCAGTATCAACATGCAGAATCTTAATTCACATATTCTTCAATATGTCAGTCTAAGTTCTCATTTCAAACATTCTATTAATATAGTAGAAGATGTAATTGTAGATTTTATACCTACTTTTTCAAATTCACCCTTTTCCCCTGCCCTCTTATTTGAAGCATGAGTTTACTTAGTTTCTAAGTTAGATTAATATTAACTATGAAATACTTTACATAAAAAATAGTTACTAGATGCCACAGACAAAAGCAAGTACACATAATAGAAATTGTCAACTACAGATAGCATTTTTTTCTTTCAGTGTTTTAACTTTGGAAACATTAATTACTTATGACTATGTGGAAATCATAGAATCTAATATTTACTCTTAGTTTACAATATAGACAGGCTTATTAACATATTTATCTAAATAAATGCATTTGTCTAATTTATAAACACATTCACACATGTATATATAACCTATAAATACCACAGGAAATGTAAAAGTCTCCCCAACTCCTTTTCTTCTATATTCCTTCCTAGGGCTGCTGTCATAAATTAGTACAAACTGGGTGTCTTAAAACAACAGAAATTTATTCTGTCACAGTTCAGGAGATCAGAAGTCTACAAACTAATGCTGGTGGGGTTGGATCCTTCCAGAGGCTCTAAGAAAGAAACCATCTTGCCTGTGTCCTGGCTTTCAGTGGTTGCTGGCAACCCTTAGTTTTCCTTGGCTTGTAGATGTATACCTCCCATGTCTGCCTCCATCTTCACATTGCCTTCTTGTCTATGTCACTCTGTGTCCCCTCTTCTTATAAGGACAATTTTTCTAATACTTTGTATTAAATAAACAGCCCTAAAGGGCCCACTGTAAATCTAGGATGAATTCCACTCAAGATCCTTAACTAATCACATCTGCCAAGATCCCATTCCCAAATAAGGCCACATTCACGGTTACTAGGGTTAGGACCCGAACACCATCTTTTCTTAGTAGGACACAATTCATCCTACTCCACTCCCTATAGGAAGAAGTTTAATTTAAATTGGAAACAATTTGACATGTTTTCTTATACTTGGAAAAATGATAATTGGTTTTTATTAATCTAAGGTACATGTGTTAGAACTTAGTTTTATTTCTACTGAATCATTCTTTCCTTGCTCTCCTGTAGCACAATTTTGTTTACTTTTTGTCTAATTTGAATATAATGTACATTTTTAGCAGGTTCAGTACATAAGTTTATTTGATTGTGTCTTTCTAGAAGGTGGACAAGGATATTGTGAACAGACTATACCTGTCTTTTGTTCTTTATACCTTGCTCAAAGAAACCAATATTTGGAGTGTGTCTGAAAAATTTAATATGCCTCGAGGATATATACAAAGCCTCCTCACTGCAGCTGCCACCTTCTCATCTTGTGTGTTACATTTCTGTGAGGTAATTCCATTAAATAGATGAAAGATGCTCTGTGCATCTTCTTATTTTAACTGTTATTAAATTCATAAACCAGTTAATATTTTCTCATTGTTGACTTATTCTGTTATTACAAAGCACTCAGGATTTATTTAAAATATATTTTTAGCCCTGGCTGGCATAGTTCAGTGGATTGAGCACGGGCTGCAAACCAAAGTGTCGCAGGTTCGATTCCCAGTCAGGGTTCATGCCTGGGTTGCAGGCCATGACCCCCAGCAACCACATGTTGATGTTTCTCTCTCTCTCTCTTTCTCCCTCCCTTCCCTCTCTGAAAATAAATAAATAAAATCTTTTAAATAAATAAATAAATAAATAAATAAATAAATTTTGGTTTTATCCATTTATAAAAATACTATATACATACTAAGGTAAAGATACAAAAATGACAAAATCAACTAAAGTATGTAATGAATAAGTAAAAAGCACCTAGTTATCCCTATACTTAAAACCACCACTAATAGTTTCAAGTATTTGGAATCAACTATTAAAATGGCATTTCTCCACTGATGTACATTCTTTGTAAGTGTTCTTCCCATGAGTGATACCCATGTGAATGTTTGATTAGTATGTTATCAATATCCAACAGCTACTGTTATTCACTTAGTTCTGTGTTTTTCAATTGCCTCAGTAACTTATCATTTTTGCTTCCAGAGTCAGGCAGCTACTTTAGGTTTCTACAACAAATGTTCATTTTATAAAGTAGCTCAAGGAGAAAACTTTGTTTTAGCCATATGCACTTGGGATGGATTTGTTTCAGACTTTACTAAAAGAAGCTTTCAGAATTCCTTAAATAACACAAGAAAGCTTACCAGACTTTTCTACTCAGATAACTTTTTGACAAATTTATAATATAAGCCAATTTTGCTGTATTTAAGTTTCTTATTATTGGATAGCATAATATCTTTTTCACATTTGTTTTTATACTTGATTTTTTAAAAAAACTTTTCCCCCATGACTCATATTTTTAAACTTAAAATCTGCTTCATTTGCCCTATCTTAAATCTCCATATTCTGTGTATGTATATGGCAATTAACTCCATTATCCATACTAATGAGTAAATAATCCAAAATACTTAATTTTGCATTGGATGATACTTATTTTAGCAAATTTATCTTTCTAAATATCTTCTACATATGCTGTTTTTTAACATTAGCTTACATTCCCTAATCCCATGCTAGCTAAGCAGAAGAAAAAATTATGACTAACAAGAAGCTAGCCTTTAAGTCTTTAAAATATATTTTAAATTTTCTATGTTGTTCTTCATATTTAAAGATGCTTTCCCTAATATTCTATCCCTTTGTTTTAATTAGGACTATAAGGACTTCAGCTTTGTAGAATTGTTCATCTAAAAGAATATGTTGAATTTGAAAAAGCAACTACTATTATTGGATGGTTGATCCTAGAAAAATTTGCCTGACAACTCGTGTACTCATGAATGTGTTTTCAATATTTTAAAGGGTTTTTTCTCTTAAATAGTTATGTGAGTTGTAAAAACTAAGATACCAATTATATTAATTAAGATGCTTTTAACTACAAGTAACTGAAAAAAACCCATCGAAAATTAAACAATAGGAAAAAAGGTGATCTTAGGTAACAGGAAAGCAAGAACTAAGGCAGTTCCAGGGGTGATCGATTCATAGTTTTATGCAAGGTTACTTTTTCTTTGCTTCACTCTCCCATCTTTAGTGCATTGGCTCCTTTCTTAGTAGTCACAAAATGGCTAACCAATTCTGTTCCAAGCATCACATACTCTAACAATAATCCTGAAAGCTTAAAAAGTGACTTAAAAAAATAAGCTAAATACAAATAATATAATAAATACTCATTTACCCATCCAGCTTCAACAATTATTGACTCATGGCTTCCAATATTTTTATTGTATTAAGTATTTTTACACTGAGCATCATCTTGCATTGGAATCCTTCTATATTTAACATGTTCTCTTCAGGATGAATTCCCAGAAGTAAGAATTGTTTTCAGTCATTTGGGAAAGAAAAACTATGCATCCACTTGCTGGTATTTTAATAAAAATGAATAGAACTCTTCTACTGACTTATATTTCAATTTTTTACTTATCCCAAAACCACTTTATCATATTCATCATAGTCCCTGCCATGTGTCCTGATAATAATTTTATTTGGAATTATTATTTACCTCTGGCTTAACCCAAGTTCCAAAAGTTACATACGGGAACATCCTCTCTGAGCCCCCTACCATGCAAACTATACTTTGAAATAACTTGCCGGACTTAAATTCTGTATATTTCTTTGTGTTCTGCAGGAACTTGAGGAGTTTTGGGTTTATAGAGCCCTTCTGGTAGAACTTACCAAGAAGTTGACTTACTGTGTAAGGGCAGAACTAGTCCCGCTCATGGAGGTGACTGGAGTTTTAGAGGTCAGTAGTTTCCCAGTTGAGATGTTTTCAACTAACTGAAGTTTTATCACAGGGTAACTGACAACAACAGCCTTATGGCAGTCTTTTTCTTTTTTCTCAATCATTTGCCACCATGGCCTCCTAGAAATCCCCTGTTAATCTGGAAGCACAAATGTGAAAACAAATAACAGTAGGGAAAGGTCATGCTCCCCCAGTATATGTGTGCTCCAGTCATCCTTAACATCTCTTCCTTCCTCCACTTCAGTAAAGAATTAACTTCTGTTGTTTAGACTTCGTGCTTGTTTAAGGTACCGGTATTAGGTGGTAACAAGGCTAACTTACATTTTGTAAGAGGCTTAGAAGAACGTATTCTCAGCTAGTTTTTCAGCTTTCTCTTTTGGCCAGCCCTTAATTTAAATTTATTTTCTGTTACTCATTTCTTGAATTAGAGAAGCTCTTCTGCTTGGGAACACACCCACACACACACCCACACACACACCACCACCACCACACCACATGCCTATAGTCCCCTGAGTAGATAGTAAGAACATTTTAAGGATATTAGACTAGAACATTTTCACTGGGGTCTGAAATAATGCCCCTAGCCTAAGTGCCATAATAGATTTCTCACTGCTGATTGCAACACACTTCAGTTGATGTAAGCTGTGCAGAGGCTATCTTTCAATCATATTGGAACCGCTCAAATACATCTTTTTTTTTTTAGAAAAATTTTTTAATTACTTTATTGTTGTTCAGTTACAGTTGTCTGCATTTTCTTCTCACCACTCCCACCCGACCCCAGTCAAACCCACCTTCCTCCCTTGTTTCCCTCCTCCCCCTTGGTTTTATCTATGTGTCCTTTATAGTGCTTCCTGAAAACCCCTCTCCTCACTGTCTCCTCCCCCCTCCCCTTTGGCTATTGTTAGATTGTTCTTAATTTCAATGTTTCTGGTTATATTTTGCTTGCTTTTTGCTTTTGTTGATTCTGTTCCAGTTAAAGGTAAAATCATATGGTATTTGTCCCTCACCACCTGGCTTATTTCACTTAGCATAATGCTCTCCAGTTCCATGCTGTCCCAAAGGGTAGGAGCTCCTTCTTTCTTTCTGCTTCATAGAATTCCATTGCGTAAATGTACTGTAGGTTTTTGATCCACTCATTTACTGATGGGTACTTACGTAAGTTGCTTCCAGCACTTGGCTATTATAAATTGTGCTGCTGTGAACACTGGGGTGCGTAGATTCTTTTGGATTGGTGTTTCAGAGCTATTAGGGTATAATCCCAGCAGTGCAATTGCTGGGTCAAAAGGCAGTTCCACTTTCAGTTTTCTGAGAAAATTCCATACTGTTTGCCACAGTTGCTGCAACAGTCTGCATTCCCACCAACAGTGCACTAGGATTCCCTTTTCTCTGCATCCTCTCCAACAGTTCTTTGTTGATTTGTTTATGATTGCCATTTTGATGGGTGTGAGGGGGTATCTCATTGTGGTTTTAATTTGCATCTCTGATGGCTAGTGATGCTGAGCATCTTTTCATAGGTCTCTGGGCCCTCTCTGTGTCCTCCTCGGAGAAGTGTCTGTTCAAGTCTTTTGCCCATTTTTTACTTGGGTTGCTTGTCTTCCTGGAGTGGAGTCATGTGAGTTCTTTATATATTTTGGAGATCGAGCCCTTGTCCAAGGTGTCATTGGCAAATATGTTTTCCCATACAGTTGGTTTTCTTTTTATTTTAATGCTGTTTTCTTTAGCCATGCAGAAGCTTTTTAATTTGATGAGGTCCAACTTGTTTATTCTCTCCTTTATGTCCCTTGCTTTAGGGGACTTATCAGTGAATATATGCATGGAATGTCTGAGATTTTCCTGCCAATGTTTTCCTCTAGGACTTTTGTGGTGGCGCAACTTATATTTAAGTCTTTTATCCACCTTGAATTTATTTTTGTGTATGGTGTAAGTTGGTGATTGAGTTTCATTTTTTTGCATGTAGCTGTACAGATCTCCCAACACCATTTGTTGGAGAGGCTATTTTTACTCCATTTTATGCTTCTTCCCCCTTTGTCAAATATTACTTGACCATAGAGACTTGGCTTTATTTCTGGGCTCTCTATTCTGTTCCATTGGTCTATGTGCCTGTTTTTATTCCAGAACCAGGCTGTTTTGATTACAGTGACCTTGTAATACAGTTTGATATCAGGTATTGTGATCCCTCCTGCTTTGTTCTGTTCTTCTTTCTCAAAATTGCTGCAGCTATTCCGGGTTGTTTATGGTTCCATATAAATTTCTGAAATCAAATATATCTTTTAAAATGTATTTTCAGGATTCTGATGTGTTATCTCTTCATGTTTACTCTATTATCTTAGTGTATTCCTATCTCTTGCATGTGAAATTTTTCCCTTTAATAAGACATTTAGTTATTTTTTCCAAATCCCCAATTCTTATCCTACTGATTTTTGTAATACTTTTCAGGGTCGAGCAAAACAGTTATACAACGCAGGTTATAAAAGTCTAACACACTTAGCTAATGCAGATCCTGAAGTGCTAATAAGGACAATTGATCACTTATCAAGACACCAGGCCAAGCAAATTGTTTCATCAGCAAAGGTAAGCAAACTATTTTTTAGTCTTTATGATATTTTATGCTAGTATCTCCTTATGCCTTAGACATGAAAATAGACCCAAAAGTATAAACTCATAATATATAGATAAAAATAGTATATTTGTTATGATAAAAGGCTTGCTATAAAGAGAAAAAGGACCTCCTAAAAAACACAATTTCAAGAGCTCATTGAAGTATAGGGAAGTATAGAACTCATTGAATTCTGCCTCCTTACAACCTTTCACAGAAGTCCTTTCCTCAGCATCCTCAACATCTGGTTTTCCCATTTTTGACAAGGAGCTTACAACTTGAAAAATTATAGTTCTGTTTTTGGACACTTTCAGTATCACAAAGCGGATCCCATTATAACAAGGCTCAATTTTGCCTTCTTATAATGTTGACCATTGCATTGTAATGCTACCCTCTGAAACTATTCTATTCCTTCATTCATGTGGTAGTTTTTCACGTATTTAAAAACAGTTCTCACTATCAACAAGGGTTTATCTTTTCTGTTTGTTTCATCTGTTTTAAATAGTCTATCACTGTCCTAGTTACCCTTTGCTAGATGCAGTCCTGTGTGTCATTACTCTCCTGCTCAATGTGGGTGAAGCCACTACACAGCAGTTTGGGATTATTTCCTTCTTGATGTCAACTGTACTTCCATTTCTGGTAGCCTGAAATTGCTACATTATTGTTATATACAGGTTAGAATGAGCTAAAAAATGTTTCCATCTAACTTTTTTGAATAGTGCTCACATTGTTTATATTACCTTCATTGATTTTTATAAAAATGCTGTCACTATTACCTTCAATATGATGACACTAAAACTGACCTTCTTCTATTAGATTAGGAGTGTATAGTGTTCATATTGATGAAGTTATAGTAATTTTCATTGCAATAGCAGCTAGCACAGTACTCAGCCTAGAGTAGGTGTTTAATATATGTTTGAATGAATGAATGAATGAATAATTTCTTTTAAAGAAATTAAGTGATTTACCCAAGGAAAAACAGATAAGTAAGTTGTAGAGCCAGGACTGCAGAGTTAGACTATATATTATTAAGAATACAGCCTTGGCTGATGTGGCTCAGTGGATTGAGTGCTGGACTGCGAACCAAAGGGTCACTGGTTTGATTCCCAGTCAGGGCACATGCCTGGGTTTCAGTACAGGTCCCCAGTAGGGGGCATAGGAGAGGCAACCACACATTGATGGTTTTCTTCCTCTCTTTCTCCCTCCCTTTCTCCCTCCCTTCCCTGCTCTAAAAAATAAATAAATAAAATGCAGACAACTGTAATTAAACAACAATAAAATAATTTTTAAAATCTTAAAAAAAGAATACAAATAGAGCTGTAGTAACAATGGACAAAAGAAGTGACTTTAAATTTTAAAAGTTTATTAGACAAGTTCAAGCATAAGCAATTCATAGTTTATATGGGGAATTGGTATTGTATCCAGGGACCCATACTTCTGTGTCATTCTCAATACATCGCTTCTACCTTATGCACTGAGATATGTGCTTTTTGCTCTCCTGACAGCTTGAAAGAGAAAAAAATGGATATTTCATGCAGGATTTTGAATAACGGAGTGGGTCAGAGGTTGCAAACGGGCACAAGAATGAAAATAGGAAACCAGTTAGGATTATAGTGAGTGCATGCAGTTTTTTTGTGGTAATACTACAGAAATGATGTGTGTCCTTCTTGGAACACTGTTCCAGGAGCCAGAGGGTGTCAGTTGGTTTCATTACTGATAATACTATCATTTGATTAAGGAAGTGTTTTCTGCCTTTGCGACTTAAAACAGCTATTTCATTTTATTCATTTTTTGTGAATTAGGAATTCTGGAAGAGTTCAGCCAGATATTTTTCCTGGAATCTCATACAGTTACAGTCAAATTTCAAGTGGAACTGTAGTCATCTAAAGGCTTGACTGGATTGGATATTCCAGATGGGTCACTCACATGGCTGGCAGTTGAAAAGTACCATTATCTGAGGCTTTCAGCTGGAGCTTTCCATGGGGCTTGGGTCTCTAATTGCATGGCAACCAGGTTTTCTTTTCTTTTTTTAAGGATTTTATTTATTTTTAGAGATGGAGGAAAGGAGGGAGAAAAAGAGGGAATATCAGTGTGCGAGAGAAACATTGATCGGTAGCCTCTCAACATGCCCCCAGCTGGGGACCTGGCCCACAACACAGGCATGTGCCCTGACTGAGAATCAAATCAGCAGCCTTTCAGAACACAGTCTGGCACTCAATCCACAGAGCCACACCACCCAGGGCACAACTAGGTTTTCAGAGGAAATGACCACAGAGTAAACATTTTGAGAAATCAAGGCAGAAAAGACAAGAAACCTTCTGAACTAATTTCAGAAGTTATGTGGTCTCCTGTATATGACTGGTTACTAGAAGGTCATTAAGATCAACTCAGATTAAAAAGAAGGGGAATTAGACCCTCATCTCTCCATGAGGGGAATGTCAAGTAATTCTCATTCATCTTTAATGTTTGGCCTCTGGTCACAAATTATTTACATTTCTCCCACATATAAAATAGGTTCATCCCTAAAAGATTTATTCCTTTATGGAATCAGACTCAGGCTGGACCTCAATGTCCGGTATTCCTTCTAAATCTAGTCTAAGTGATAGACCACCTACCATGGTGAAACAGAGATAAGATAACCACATTACTATTCCAAAAGAGGGAAAATGAGTGGTACATCTGATACACAGCCAAGCGTATATGGCTAGATTCTTGATTAGGACCCAGTTCTGCTCCCTGAGAATGATTCTTCCTAGTTTTGGATTCCCTCATCTGAATCATTCTTTCCTTTTTATAAGCAATGTCCCATGTCTGCAGCTAGGTAGCTTTCTCATTCTCCTTCCTCTCTGTAGAAGTTCAAGGGCTCAGAGGTTTTATTTTATTATCTCTGTCACTTTTTATTAAATCTGGTATAATGTCCTTTAAAACCTTATGAGTTTCTTATTTATCTATTTTTAATTTCCACATAGCTTGAGTTTCTTACAGCATGGTTCCTGGGCTTTGAGAAGGGAGCATTCAAGAGACCTTGGAATGGTCTCATTCCAAGAAACCAAGACAGAAACTTGCAAAACTTCTTTTTGGCAGAGTTGTGGAAATCATGCAGCATTATGTCCACTGCATTTTATTAGTTACAAGTAAATCACCAAGGCCAGCACACATTGAACAGGAGAATTAAATTCAATCTGTTAGTAGAGGTGTCAGAGAATTTCCAATCATTTTTAATCCACCACACTCATTGTAGCCTTCCCCCTTCTCATGTTTTTAGTTCTTTCTCCAACAGTGAAAAACCTGATTCCTGTTTTCATTAATATACTTACCTATTTTGCTGAATCCTAGAATACCTGAAAATAATTACAGAATTGTTAAAGCATGCTACTAAGGAAAAAAACTTACTAACTGGGATTCAGTATCTATTTACAGCCTTTTTGTCTTTATATATAAGAGAATATATAATTGAAATAATGTGCCTAAGTGTTACATTTTAAAATAGGCAGTCATGTTACTCATTTGAAACACAAGAGTCTGTTTGTATTCCATTTTATTTGCTCACCCCAGTGCTTATGAGTGGGTTTTTTTTGTTGTTGAATATATGAAACATGAACCTATTTTCTTTAGCTATAAATTCAAATAGTTTCACTAGGGTATATCTTCATTTTCTTTTATTAATGGAAGCTTCCTTAGGTTGTAGTTTTAAATATTAGCTCTGATCCATTGCTTGATTTAAAAATTTTTTTTAATTTATTGGTTGATTTCAGAGAGAGAGGAAGCAGGGCAGAGAAAGCGAGAAATTGATTTGTTGTTCCATTTACTTATGCATTCATTGGTTGATTCTTCTATGTGCCCTGATTGAGAATTGAACTTGCAACCTTGAAATATCAGGACAACACTAACTAACTGAGCTACCTGGCCAAGGTTTTATTTTTCTTTTTTAGGAACTCCAATTATATATATGTTAGATCTTCTTTGCCCATTTCCCCTTCAATTTCTCTGATTCTTTACTTCTTTCTTCATCTCATGTTCATTATCTTGATTGTTTTCCTGCTTTTTCCCCCCAATGACCCTAATTAGGTTTTTATTCGAATCTGTTCTTCCTTGGATACCTCATTATTTAGTTTTTATTTCTGATATAATTTGCCTTTTTCTTCTATTATTTTCCTGAGCTTCAACTCTTGTTTCACTTTTTTCTGTTTTTGGTTCACTTCTGTTCTTAGTTTTGGACTTTCTTATTCAGGATGTGTTTTTCCCTCATGTTTCCAAGTGTTTACTTGAGACTACATAATTCTGTTTGGAATATTGTGTTACAGTTTTTCAGTATCATCGTTTGCTTTCAAGGAAGGAAATATTTATGAGCTGAAGTGCTTGGATTGTCATTTTCTCTATTCTTTTCATAGGGTAGTCTTGTATAATGAGAGCTGCTTATTCCTCTGCATCTCTTAGACTGAGATGGCCATTAAGAGTGATTAATGAGAATCCTATTCAACAATCTCTCTTCTGTCAGCGTAGTTTCATTAATGGGTGGCTTGTGGTGGGAGAGGAATGCAAGGAAGAGTGGTGTTCTTTGATTTTTTAAATTTCTGTAATTTTCCTGCAGGTTCCTAAATTTTGCCCTCTTTTTTCCCCTCGCTGCCCAGCTTCCAAAGGATACCTCTCCCTTTCACTCCTTCTTTCCCCTAGAGGTATTGCCTTTCCAAGACTGCCTTCTAGAGTTTCACATACTTTATATCCTTTCTTATAAACAATGCTTTAATCTACTAATGTCAAAAAAAGTCTGGGTTCTTATCTCCAGCTACAAAAGAATTTAGACCAAGGACACTGATGAAAACAAAGGCAGATTTATTGAGGTTCTTCAGTGGGTGAGAGAACCGAGATAAGTTCCCAAGTTATACACCCCAAATGTGGGTCTTATGGGTTTTTATAGCTTGGGAACACAGAAGTTGCTGGGGTTATGGAAGTGAGTTAGCAGACTTTTCCTGTTTCAAAACATTGATGTCTAGGTATATGTCAGCAAAGAGAAGCATTCCAGGATTGTGTAGCACTTATTATGGGATGCAGAAAGGGACTTTGCTAACCAAGTGTTGAGTTTGTCTCTGTGATTTCTGGCTTAGCTTTAGATCTGAAAAACAAACTTTAAAGAAATCAGGCTAGTTCCCAGACCATTGTTCTATAATTACCTATTGATAACTGCCATGGTTCTGGCAGGGCTTGACTCAGTAGAGCTAATTTTGGGGAACATTTTATTCTATCCATTTTACTAAGATTCTTTTTGCAATGTTTTTGTACTTAGGGTAACCTTTCTGTATCTGGAGGTGATTTTGTTTAATCTGAGACCCTCTGTTTTTCCTCTTCCTTGTTTCATGTGTTTTGTTTTGTTTTTTCCTCAAACCCACTTTGATCTCTGCAAACACTTTGGAATGAGAACTTAAGAAATGACTTTGTTGGAAATGGTGGATTTTTTTTAACTATGAGTAATTTGAAGTTGATGGTGTTCTCTTCATTCAAGTATTGTTTTGTGTGTTCCTTGTTGATCTGTATAGTTTTTAGAGGACATGTTGGGAGATTTGTTTCATATGGTCACCATTACCTCAGCTGCTGGAAAACCTACCTGAGTACATTTTATTTTATTTCTCTCTATATATAATATATATAATCTATATCATAATATAGATTATATAGATTATAAGCATTATATGTAATTCTATGCTTTATACCAAATAGGTAGAGTAGATTTTTCCCTTTCACTTTGTGTCATATGATTTTTTTCCCGTAATATGATTTTGCTGAACTTTTTATTATATAATTTTGTAACAGAAGTAGTACAAATACTTTACCCCAATTTACACAAAACCCAGCTGTAATAACCACCAACATTTTATTTCTGGTTTCTAAAAGAAAGAGGAAAAATCATTATTTAGAAAATATTCATTTATATCTACTATGTGCCATGTTTAGAAATATTTTGTTTGCTTATTACATTTCTTTTGAAATTAACCATGTTAGTTTTAGGAACTTGAATAAAAATTGTCTTTGAAAAAGTGGTAGGTTTTCAAAAGATAGCATACTAAAGTTTAAGGAATAATAAAATACATATATGATGGATAATATTTTCAAGTTCTAATTAAATTTTTGAAAAATTGTCTTTTATTTTATAGATTAAAAGCTAATTTTAAGTGGTTGAGTCTTCAATTAAAACAAATCCTTGAGAGTATTAAAGTTCCTTTTTTGGTATACCAAATGTAGCAATCAGCTAAAATGACTTTAACTATATGCTTCAGTTTCATTTACTATGATCACTTTTTCTTAAGAGGCCGTTTTTCAATCTCATTATTATTTTTAATGTCTAGATTGCTGATGTGTAAGGATTCAGGTGGTAAAAAATGTTAGCATTTCTCTAGCAATGCATATTTTGGTCTCATGTCTTGATGCTTTTATTGTAGATGCTGTTGCATGAAAAAGCAGAGGCTTTGCAAGAAGAAGTAGAAGAGCTGTTGAGGTTACCTTCTGATTTCCCTTCCATTGAAAAGGCATGAAGCTGTCTGATGAGCATTTTCAAATATGAATTATTTTTTGTACATATGTTTTATTAAAGGTTCCTCATAGTTTATAAATGAAAAAATACATTTTAATTATACATTCAGAACTGTGGATGATGTTTGAATATACCTGTCACCCATAATTGCAGTAACCTTCCTAGTAATAATCCATCTTACTCAAATCTTATACATGATCCAGTATCTGTTCAAAAATGAAATCCAACTTCCTCAACCTTGCTGCATCCTACCTTTGTAGACAGATCTTTCATCATCTCTTACTCATTTCTTTTATCAAACTGAACTGTTTAAAATTCTAGAATTCCCCCTGCAATTTCCAAACCCTTTATTTCCTAACTTCTTTATTCTATTCCAAGTGCATGGGAAATTATCTTTAAAATGTGCTACATACTTCAACTATCAACTAAAAATGCTCAAATTCTGTCTCCTGTATGAAAAAGTTCAAGTTTGTTCTCATTCCCACTCCATACATGAGTTCTTGCACTTCTGTAAGTATTATGAGTCCCTCATTTATGCCTATGTATTTTTTATACTTTTCCAATGAATATTTATTATTAGTTAAGCCATGATTCAGGATGCCAGGGTGCGATGTGCCTAGATCCCCCTTCACCATCCTGGGAGAAGAATGGAGAACAGAGGAGAAGTGGGGTGGAGCCAGTTGAACTCTTCCCAGGAAGTGGGCCTTCTGCATGGCAGTCATCTCAGGCCCACACCTGGGATGTGGACCATTTGCACATGGAAACATCATCCCCTTTAATGGTCATTGTCTTCTCGCAACAGCAGAAGTCCAGGTAGTCCTGCTAGCAGTTCCTTGTCTGGTAGTGGTTGGGAAAACAGCTGTCAAAAGGGACAGTCATAATTCTGGATTTGGTCTTCTTGTCTTCTGCCACATTGCTGACTCCTAAAAATGCCCTGAAGCAGCTTGCAGTTCAATGTAACCTTCAGTGAAGACCAGCCCATGTCTTTTTAAATGCTATTAGTTTCAAATCTCCTAGAAAGTGGAGACCTTTTTTATCATCTTTGTATGGCACATAGTACCTACCACAATTTACTGTAGAAAGCAGGAAACTTTGTGAAGAATTAAAACTACTCAAGTGAACAATTTAAAGATTCTCTTCAAACACACCTAAATATTGCCTCTTCCCACTCCCTTTTCAGAATTATAGCTCAAATGTAGATGACTGGTTAGCTACAGAAAAAAGGGTAATAACTACCAATATTGATTAATACTGAACTAGCTTACTTAAAGTCTTACCTGTTCAGGACATCCATTGAAGACTTTGCAAATAGATTCAGTCTAAGTTCTTCATGCCTTAACATTTTCTACCATTATAATGTAGTAATTTACCTTCTAATTTCCATGTACCAGGCACTATTATATGTGCTTTAGGTGACTAATTTAGTCCTTACATCAACACTGTAAGGCAGATACTATTATCATCCCCATTTTATAGATAAGTAAACTGAAACATAGAGTAATTAAAATAACTTGCTATTTTATCAATTTTTGTTCTTCCTATTTGGTACCTTCTACTTTTTTTGAGTTCAGTATGTTGCTCCTTTTCTATTTACTTGTGCAAGCTATTTAGATAATTTTTTACCTTTTTTTTTCTACCATGTATATTTAAGATATACATTTCTTTAGAAATTGCATTTAGAGGCATCCTAAAATTAATATGTTGCACTTTCATATTTATCCAAATATTTTATATTTTAGTATTGATATTTTTAACTTCCAACTATTTGGAGATTTCCTAAGTATAATTTAGTTGCTCTTCATGCTTTAGTTAAACAAAGATCAAAAGAGATATCCTTAAAAAATAATTGTCTTTTGAAATTTGTTAAGATTTGCTTTATACTCTAGCATATAGTTCTTTTGGTAAATAGTCCATATTTTTAATCTGTTTCCTTGAAGTTCATTCGTTTTCTAGACTAAATTTTTCATGGACTACATAAAGTACATTTTTTTCTAGACTCTTTTCTAGACTCCATGTTTACTAATTGCCTTTACAGTGTTTAACATATGGTTAAATCCATATATTGGGCTATTAATTCCATTGTTGTAGTTTTCATTTTTAGAATTCCTATTTGATCCTTTCAGTAGCTTTGAGTTCACTGCTGAACCTTTTCACTTTGTTATTTAATTTCTTAAATATATTAATCATAGCTATTGTAACATCTGTCTCTAAATTCCACTATATATATTAATCTCTTATAATGCCTGCTTATTTTTTATCAAATAAAGAACATTTTCTATGTGAATAAAAAATAAATAAAATAGCCCTGGCTGGTGTAGCTCAGTGGATTGAGTGCGGGCTGCGAACCAAAGTGTTGCAGGTTCGATTCCCAGTCAGGGTACATGCCTGGGTTGCAGGCCATGACCCCCAGCAACCGCACATTGATGTTTCTCTCTCTCTCTTTTTCTCCCTCCCTTCCCTCTCTAAAAATAAATAAATACATAATCTATAAAAAAAGGGGGATTAAGTCTCCAGTAAGTCTAAAAAATAAATGAATGAATGAATGAATAAAATAAATAACTTGCTCAAGGTCATGTACAAGTTAGCTGCAGGGAAAGGATTCAGACTCAGGCAGTCCCAGCCTAAAGTCTGTGCACATAACCATTATAAAATACTATCTTGGTTGAATTTGCCTACTTCATTCCTTCTAAGTGTTCTTTTCACCTGGCCTTGAATTTATCCCTAGCATTACAGCTCATTCTCACACCCCCCTCCTTACGAATCACAGTATGACATCCTAATGTCTGAGGAGAACGTCACACTTCACTGCACATATTCCTTTTGTTCCAGCTAAAAAGACTTTAAAAGCTTGGTTTAGTCTTCAGTTTTAAATCTAGAAATTCTAGTATTTTCAGCTTACTCAAGTAAGTAAGGCTGTAAGTGAGCCTGATTCTTAATAACCAATATATAAAAGACTGATTAATAATCCCAATTTAACTTATTTTCTTTTCTTCTTTTTTTTACCCTTCCCCTTTTCCCCTCATTAATCCCACCTCCCCTCTAGTTACTGGGTGTTTGTTCTTAATTTCAATGTCTCTGGTTATATTTTGCTTGCTTGTTTGTTCTGTTGATTAGGTTCCACTTACAGGTAATATCATATGGTATTTGTCCCTCACCACCTGGCTTATTTCAATTAGCATAATGCTCTCCAGTTCCATCCACACTCTTGCAAAGAGTAGGAGCTCCTTCTTTCTTTCTTTCTGTTGTGTAGTATTTCATTGTGTAAATGTTTTTTGATCCTTTCATTTACTGATGGGCACTTAGATTGCTTACAGCACTTGGCTATTGTGAATTGTGCTGCTATGAACACTGGGGTGCATAGGTTCTTTTGGATTGGTGTTTCAGGATTCTTAGGGTATAATCCCAGCCATGGAATTGCTGGGTCGAAAGGTAGCTCCACTTTTAGTTTTCAGAGGAAATTCCATACTGTTTTCCACAGTGGCTGCATCAGCCTGTATTCCCACCAACATTGCCCTATGGTTCCCTTTTCTCCACATCCTTTCTAGCATTTGTTGTTTCTTGATTTCTTTGTGATAGCCATTCTTACCAGTGTGAAGTGGTATCCCATTGTGGTTTATTAATATAAGATTAGAGATGGCAAGGTTGTGGAGGGGATACCTTTACAAAAACTAGAATACCTGTATGTGCAGACCAGGATAATCTCCCATCACCCCATCATTGTTTCTCTAGGTCAATTTAACTAATAGGCTGTGTCAAGTGTAATGGGGACTTAGCCCAAAAAGATATTAAAATAGAAAGAAATTAAAACAGTTCAGCTCCAGAGAAGCAACAGTAAATCGGTGGGAATATAGTAAAGAATAAAAGTATACCTAAATACATTTAAGCATTTAATATATAACAAACGTGGTTTTTCCAGTTTTAAGTGATACAAATCCAAGGATATTTGGCTTAAACAAAAAGCAGTGTTTCATGGTCACATTCTCAAACCACAGCAGCAATAAAACTGATATGAAGGAACTGAAGGTACCTTCTTTGATACTTCAGTGTAGTCAGATGACACCATCAAAAACCACACATTCAAATCTTTTCATTTACCTAAAGTTTAATTTGGTTTAAGGAGATAGTTAGGTATTCAGCTGAATATTTTTCTAAGACATGAGGTAACCATTTGTTCCAACTCCATTCACTGAGTTATCCATCATTTCCATTGTGACAAATTATTAACTGTACCTAGTTATTGATATCCCTGCCTACCACCCTTCTCCCTGACTTCTGAAAAAACTAAAACACAACCACAGGAGTGGGCAAAGAACCTTCTCCCACAAGAATCACAACCGCTTTTGAAGTTCATGCCATTATGACAAAAGTAATAGTATACCTAAGCATTATTATACTAGGGTTTTTTAAATATCCAGTAATTTATAATCATATACTGATAAGTATATATTTTTGTTATTCTCAATGATAAAAAAGATAAAAACTACCATTTATTGAGGGCTTACCACATACCAGCACTAGGCTAAATATTTTATATATTTTATATACATTACCTGGATGATTCCTTACAGCCATCTGAGGACTGTTATTTCTTTACCCTATGTTACACCTGAAGAAAATGTGACTTGTCCAGGATCACCCCATTCAATGAGTGGCAGAGCCTACACTTGCATCAGAATCATACTGCTAATTCTTTTTTTTTTTGACTGTTTACTTGCATTACAAGGTACCTATGTGTTTTTGGAAAGAAGTCAAACAAGATGGCAGACTGAACATATGTATTAGCCCTTACACGTCTCTAAAATCCTGTTAAATTATTGAAAGTAAAAATTCAGGGCAATAAATTAGCATGCTTCATGTCCTACATTTTGAATTTTTTTAAGTATATTTTATTGATTATGCTATTACAGTTTCCCCAATTTTCCCCCTTTGTTCCCCCTCCACCCTGCACCCTCAGCCCTCCAGCATTCCCCACTCCCTTAGTTCATGTCCATGGGTTGTACATATAAGTTCTTTGAGTCCTCTGTTTCCTATACCATTTTCGACCTCTCCCTGTCCATTTAATTCCTACCAATTATGCTTCTTTTTCCTTGTACCTTTCCCCCCTATTCTTCTCTTCCCCCTCCCCACTAAAAACTCTCCATGTGATCTCCATTTCTTGATTCTGTTCCTGTTCTAGTTGTTTGCTTAGTTTGTTTTCTTTTTTTTTTTTTTTTGGTTCATTTGTTGATAGTTGTGTTTGTTGTCATTTTACTGTTCATAGTTTTTTATCTTCTTCTCTTAGATAAGCCCCTTTAACATTTCATATAAGGGCTTGGTGATGATGAACTCCTTTAACTTGACCTTATCTGGGAAGCACTTTATCTGCCCTCCCATTCTAAATGAGAGCTCTGTTGCATAGAGTAATCTTGGATGTAGGTCCTTGTCTTTCATGACTTTGAATACTTCTTTCCAGCCCCTTACCTGCAAGGTTTCTTTTCAGAAATCAGCTAACAGGCACTCCTTTGTAGGTAACTGTCTCCTTTTCTCCTGCTGCTTTTAAGATTCTCTTCTTATCTTTAATCTTGTGTATTGTAATGATGATGTGTCTTGGTGTGTTCCTCCTTGAGTCCAACTTCTTTGGGACTCTCTGGGCTTCCTGGACTTCCTAGAAGTCGATTTTCTTCACCAGATTGGGGAAGTTTTCCTTCATTATTTGTTTAAATAAGTTTTCAGTTTCTTTTTTTTTAAGATTTTATTTATTTATTTTTAGAGACAGAAGGGAGGGAGAAAGAGAGAGAGAGAGAGAGAGAGAGAGAGAGAGAAACATCAATGTGCGGTTGCTGGGGGCTATGGCCTGCAACCCAGGCATGTGCCCTGACTGGGAATCGAACCTGCGATGCTTTGGTTCGCAGCCCACGCTCAGTCCACCGAGCTACGCCAGCCAGGGCAGTTTTCAATTTCTTGCTGTTGCTCTTCTCCTTCTGGCACCCCTACAATTTGGACATTGGAACATTTCAAGTTGTCCCAGAGGTTCAAAAGTCTCTCTTCATTTTTTTGAATTCTTTTTCCTTCATTCTGTTCTGGTTGGCTATTTATTTCTTCCTTTTGTTCCAAATGGTTGATTTGAGTCCTGGTTTCCTTCCTGTCACTGTTAGTTCCCTGAATATTTTGCTTTATTTCATTTTGCTTTATCTTTCATTTGTTCTTCCATTTTTCGACCAAGCTCAATCAGATCTGTGAGCGTTTTGATTACCAGGGCTTTCAGTTCATCAGACAGGTTAGCTATCTCCTCATCACTTAGCTCCCTTTCTGAAGTTTTGCTCTAGTCTTTCATTTTGGCCCTATTTGTTTGGGGCAGCTCATAAGGGGGCGGGGCCTTCAGTATTCACCTGGGCAAGGCAACCCTCCTTACTGCACTGCAGGGCTGCCTGTGGGGGAGGGGCCAGAGAGGGGACAATGCAGCTCCCCTTGGCTCTAGCCCACTTTCCAATGAACCCTTGTGTGAGCTCGGAATTTCTCCCACTGTGGCAACAACATTAGTCCACAGCTAGCTCTGAGTCTGTTTCCCCTTAAGTCAGACACACCCATGGAGCCTGCTGCCTTGCAGCAGCTAGCCCCACCTGTCTGCTTCCTTAGTGGTCTGGTTGTTTTGTTTAACTGTTTCTTTAATTCCGTGGTTGTTGGAGTTCCATGTAGGTTGATTTTTCTGGCAATTCTGGTTGTTTATTGATTTTAGATTGGTTGTTATCCTCCTTTTGGGTGTGCAAGGAAGCGAAGTGTTTCTACCTACGCCTCCATCTTGGCCAGAACTTTCATTTTGAATTTTTTAAATAGTCTTCTGACCTTTTCTTCACTAAATATTGTACTTACTCAACCAGTATGTGGCCATTTGAAGTAGTTCTAGAAGAAGTCACTGTTGTCTTTAGGAGAACATAAGTATGTAATATAAAAACTTTTTGCTATTTAGAATTACAACAGTCACTGTGGAAGAAACGAGTGGTTTTGCTCTAGCTGAACCAAATGTATTAGATGATTAAGCCTCCCCAATGTGAGATGACAGTAGAAGCTTTACTCAAAGGTCTGCACTAAAACAAATGAACCTGGCAGCAAAAGTTAATGCACTGGCAGTATCTAGTGTTCAAATTTTGATACATTACATACTCTTGAATGTTCAAGTGTATGTTTTGTTTCTTTAACTATTTTAAAAAATTAACCAGTTTTTCTTGTTTTAAGGCTTTGACTCAAAGACAGAGTGTATGT